ACCATATAATCATACAAGAAACCTGGGGGAAGACAAGTATTACATCAGCAATCATTAAAAAAAAAAAACACAACAACAAACCACTGGGCCCGGCATGGTAGCCTACATGGCTAAAACCCTTGCCCTGCATCTGTCAGAATCCAATATGAGCACTGGTTTGTGTCCCAGCTGCTCCACTTCCCATCCAGCTCCCTGCTGTGGCCTGGGAAAGCAGTAGAGGACGGCTCAAAGCCTTAGGAATTTGTGTCTGTGAGAGGGGCCCAGAGGAGGTTCCTGGCTTCTGGCTTTGGATTGGCTCAGCTCTGGCCACTGCAGCCACTTGGGGAGTGAGTCAGCAGATAGAAGATCTTCCTCTCTGCCTCTCCTCCTCTCTGTATATCTGACTTTCCAATAAAAAATAAAAATAAAAATAAAAATAAAAATAAAAAAAACAACTGAAAGCAGACTTTATTGTTTCCAGAAGGGATAACACAACCAGACTGGGTGAAAAGATACTGAGGGAGATGATTTCAAAAACCACTTTCACTTACTTTTCCACATTCTGCTAAGACTTATTTTTTATTTGAAAGGCAGAGATAGAGAGAGAGACAGGAAAGTGAGAAAAACAGCGAGAAAGAGAGAAAAAGATATCTTCTATCTGCTGGTTTATTTCCCAAATGGCTGCAATGCCCACAGCTGGGCCAAGCCTTACCCAGAAGCCAGAAGCTTCTTTCAAGCCTTGTGTACGAGTGGGAAGGACCCCGGCAGCTGGCCACCTTCTGCTGCCCTCCTAGGAGCATTAGCAGCAGGAAGCTGGATTGGAAGTAAAATATCTGGGACACAAACCAGCACACATATGGGAATCCACTGTGCCACAGTACCAGTCCAACTTTTTCACAATTTAAGAATTTTAGCACAGGAAATCCTTTGTATCTCTAATTTGAATCTTGCCTGCTCACATTGGTCCATTTCTGCCCTGTGTTAAAAGTGACCTAGTTCCTTTCCTCATAAAAATCTTTGAGAGAGCCTAGCACGGTAGCATCATGGCTAAAGGTCTCACCTTGCACGTGCCAGGATTCCATAGGGTCGTTAGTTCTAATCCCGGTGGCCCCACTTCCCATCCACCTCTCTGCTTGTGGCCTAGGAAAGCAGTCAAGGACGGCCCAAAGCCTTGGGATCCTGCAACCACGTGGGAGACCTGGAAGAAGCTCCTAGCCTCGGCTTTGGATCAACTCAGCTCCAGTTGCAGCCACTTGGGGAGTGAATTAATAGATGGAAGATCTTCCTCTCTGTCTCTCCTCCTCTCTGTATATCTGACTCTATAATTTAAAAAAAATCGTTAAAAAAATCTTTTAGAAACTTTAGGACAGGGAAATTGAGCTAAGAAGAACATACACATTTGCTTCTTAAAGAAAACACAGCTCTAACTGCAGAAACTGACAAATGTACAACTGAAAACTTACAATTAGGTTTCAACAAGACTCAGCAGATATGGCATAAAATGTTGCTGTTTTTTCTATTCCTTCCAGTAGACACTCCTCTCCTTTTGAAAAAACAAAGATCCCAATTCTCATTTATTGTTTAATAAATTCCCACCTCTTCTGGCTTTCTTACTTCAGCTTCCAAGTCTATTTTCACCATATACATATGTATATATTCATATAAAAATTTACTTATTTCAAAGTCTTGTTTTACACACAGAAAACGAGAGACACACAGAGAGAGGTTCTCTCCCCAAATGGCTACAATGGCTGAAGCTTAGCCAATCCAAAGCCAGGAGCTTCTTCTGGGTCTCCTACATGGGTACAATGTCCCAAGGTTTTGGACCATCCTCTACTGCTTTCTCATGCCAAAAGCAGGGAGCTAGATGAGAAGTGGAACATCTGGGACATGAGCTGGTGCCCTTATGGCACGCTGGTGTTTGAAGGTGGAGAATTAACTTGTTGAGCCAGGCACTGGCCCCTCAAACATATATATATGGTTTTAAAGATTTATTTAATTGGAAAGTCAGATATACAGAAAGCAGAGACAGAGAGGAAAGTCTTCCGTCCACTGATTTACTCCCCAAGTGGCCACAAAGGCCGGAGTTGTACCAATCTGAAGCCAGGAGCCAGGAACCTCCTCCAGATCTCCCATGCAGAGTCCCAAGGCTTTGGGCCATCCTTGACTGCTTTCTCAGGCCTCAAGCAGGGAGCTGGATGGAAAGTGAAGCTGCCAGGATTAGAACTGGAGCCCATAGAGGATCCCGGCACATGTGAGGAGAGGACTTTAGCAGCTAGGCTATTGTGCTGGGCCCTTGATCATATTTTTACCCACATCTCTCCTGTATTAAATGTCCTTAATGTGCATCACTCTGCATCTGTGTACCTCTTCTTAGGGCTTTCACAGATAAACATCTCAACTCTTTTTTCTCCATTTTATTATTTCTAGTTTTGATTTTTCTTCTAAAAAATCACAGAATCCTTCTAAGCATTTTGTGCTCTTCTGCACTTCCAAGTTTATCTCAACAAGATTTAGGTAAAGAAACTGTTCTAACTCATGTATTCCTTTAGTACCTGCTGTCTACACGTTTCTAAACAGTGTGATATAAAGGAAAAAAACAAGCTCCCTGAAAGTGGCTGCCCACAGCCGTGGTGCAGGTCCCACGGGTTGTTCCTACCAGGCAGATACTCAGTGTCACAAAAGGAGATGGGCCCCAGCAAAGTTCCTGCGCACACAGACAGCTTCTACACTGGGGGCTAAACGTCTACCTCACTGCTCTGGCTCCACAGACTATGTAAGACTATATTCAGCTGAGTGCTTGTTCCCTTCCGACCCAGCTTTGGGATGGATGAAGCCACTGGCAGCTAATAGAAACACTGAACTCCTATTGGAAACAATGGGGTTTGGTGGCAATGCCAGGAACACCCATTACCCCCTCCGCTGTTTGTCTGGAGAGTTCTTCTCCCTTTGCCTCCTCGGCTGTGAAGTCTTTCCTAATTTCCCCTAAGCTGACTGAGAGCCCTCCCCACCCCCCGCACGCTTCCAAGAACCACCTACAAGCCAGCACTCGCCATAACACTGGTAATTATCTGTTTACATGTCTGACTAGCCACAAGCTCCTTGATGGCAAGAATGATGTTTTATTCATCACTGATTCCACACCTAATAGACATTCAACAAACATCTGTTGAATGTGTTAGTGTTGAATGACTATCCTGTGGATCCCAGACCAAAATTTCAGGGAGTATCAACAATTTAAACTAACCTTCCATTATATGTTCCTATTGCACATACCGTTCTTGGCCACACACACACACATACAAACACACACACACACACACACACACACACACACACACAGGGGCCAAAGATGATGAGACTGCTTTCACATGCTCGTCAGCACCAAATCACCTGTTAGGAATACAAGGGCGAGCCCTGCACAATAGCCTAGTGGCTAAAGTCCTCGCCTTTGAACATGCTGGGATCCCATATGGGCATCAGTTTTAATCCTGGCAGCCCTACTTTCCATCCAGCTCCCTGCTTGTGGCCTGGGAAAGGACGTACCAAAGTCTTGGAACCCTACACCCGTGTGGGAGGCTTGCATGAGACTCCGGGCTCCTGGCTTTGTGTCAGCTCAGCCCTAGCCATTGCAGCCACTTGGGGAGTAAATCAACAGACAGAAGATCTTCCTCTCTGTCTCTCCTCCTTTATGTATATCTGACTTAAAAAAAAAAGAATACAAGGGCACTTCAAGACATTTATGGAAAAACGGAATCAAGGCATGTTTATTTTGGCACACACACAAATCGCACAGTCGTGCACATTTTGCTCATGATACTCATTTTCCGTGAACTTGTGAAGAGCACTTGCAGAAGAAAGGAGTAGAGACGTTTTCCCCCAGTCAGACTCACGCTCCAGCTCGCAGGGCATGGGAGCCATGGAGGGTGAACAAGGGGCCTTGGAAGGGTCCTTATCTCCACTACCATGGCACCATGTGGCAGATTTAGATTCACAGGAAAGCTATTTACCCTCTTGCCAAATTCAGTTAAGGTTCCTCTAAGGAACAGGGATCTGAACCAAGTCCTCCCAGAACCCTGCCATGTTATACGTTAACATTCTAAATCATTCCTCACTGGGTTTACTCATCTCTGAAGTGACCCAGGCAAGGCAATAAAATGCTGTTGTCTGAAATGACTCTGCCTGTGGCAAGCCAGCCTGGACCAAGCACAGCTACCGTATTTATAGGTCACCTAGAAGGACACAAAATCTAATCGGATCCTGTGCGAACAAAGCCCTGGATTCCCTCAAGGGATTAAATACATTTAGTTTATCTATTTTTGCATTCCCCAAGTTTTGCAACTCAACTGAACTGGACAAAGGATAAGGACCCCAACCTAGACAAAGTGAAGGAAATGAAAAGGGTTTCTGCCTCCAAGGAATTTCCGTAACCAGGATGGATGTGGCTCTCAGCATACAGTACATCAGATAAGCAACATTCAGGGGCAAATCAGATACTGGCTCTTTGCAAGTTACAAACCAGGAAGTTCCACTTAACCTAGGTCTCTTAAACACACTAATAAATCTGTTTGAATCCGCACAAGACCAATTACCAAGTCAAGTCATCAAAGTGTTTGCGTCTTTCTTTCTGCTACTACAATCTTATATAACTCAAGCTGTTTTAGTTACATCTGTAGCTCCATTAGTCATGACTTCAGTCTTTCACAGGGTATACGGCTCCACTAGCAGCTTCCAAGAAGGGAAACTGAGTCACGGCATATCAACCAGCTTCCCCAAGCCCACACTTAGAGTGAGGTCACAAATGAAGCTGTGTTACCTTCCTCTTACTTACCATTTCACAAACCAACCTCAGCATGTCCGCCCACCCCTGCTGCTTTTCCCCTCAACCTTACTAAAGCCAGATCCCTGCCTGTTCTCTGGGCACGTTTGATCGTTTGGAGCCAACAGGGGCTTCCCAAGAAAGAGGAACCCTGAGGAGAGGCAAGGGTTGGGAAGCAGCGGCCCCGGCGACGAGGACTCACCTTGGAGCCGAGGTCCTCCCGCCGGTTTCCTGCCTTACTCCTGCGCAGTTTGATGGAGGGAGAGCGCAGCAGGTTCTTGATCCGGCTGGTAATGGTCGATCCTTCCACAGCCATCACGGTGAGGAGCCCTCTGGTCGTGTCTCAACATTGGCACTGCCCTCTCACTCCACAGGACCTTCCAATAAGCCCTTGCCTGAGGAGACAGATGCCGCCTAAGCATCGCATGAGGCGACTTACGGCTCAGACCTCCACGTTTTTTCCCCCTTTATCCCTACCTTCACGCCCTGAGTGGTTTCTCACAACGCCCGGAAAGGAAACCCCATGAAAAGGGGGGCGGGGGAATCCTGAGCCCCAAAGAACTGCCAGGCCCACACCCTCCAGAGGCGTTTAACATTAGAGATGGGATGGGCCCGAGCAGGGCCAGTGCAGGTCTGCTCCCCGTTAAAGCCCAACTGTTCCCATGGCAACTGGGGAGCCAAGCCAGGAAGCCGCCCAGGACCCCCGGCGCGTCTCGTAGGGGGCCCGGGCACCTGTGCCGGCGGCCGCGGGGTCTCCAAGTGGCCCGACAACCGATCCAACCCCGGGAGCCTCCTCCCCCACCCCCGACCCTCGGGAGCTCGCTCGCTCCTCCACCCCCTCGCTCCAGGACGGCCCTCGACTTTCTCTCTCGCCCGACTCACAAGGCCGCCGCCCCGCGCACTCCCAGAGCCCCGCTCGCGCCCAGCCTCACCAGCCCCGGAGCGCGAGGGGCTCCCCGCTCACTGCGCCCTCAGGCATCGCGCTCAGCGATTTCGCCTCCTCCGCGATAGCGGCAGCCGCAGCTATGGTGGCACGAGCGGCTCAAAACGCGAACTGCCGGCTGGGCCGAGCTAGGGGCTGGGTGGGCGGAGCCCACGAGACGGGGCGGCCCACAGCCAGGTGGGCGTTACCAGGGTGGACAGGCCAGGCTATCGGAGGGCGGAGTCATCGGACAGGCAAGGAAGCAGAGGACTTAGGACTCGGGAACCAAGGATTCCACACAATTATGGTCTGTAGGAATTGTGGCCCACGGAGCTTGGCTCCAGGATAAGGCAATCAAGCCTTTTATGGTATTGCCAGGACTGTTGTCCCAGGGAACTGCGCCTCCCGAAGCCCCAGGACGCTAGCCACGCCTCCCGGGAGCCAAGGTTGGCATTTCACAGCCGCGGAGGACCGCAGATCAAACTTAAGTTCTGGTTGGATTACATAAAGTCGCGGTGAGGCAAAAAGCTCTGCCCTCGTCCCTGCACCGTTTGAGTACTTCCAAGATCTGCAATATTTTCAGCGCGCCGTCGACCCACTCACTCCAAACGCGAGGAACAGCGTTTTGCACTCGCTACCTGATCCATCCAATACAAGGAATGGCTGGGGTGTGGGGGTGTGCTCGTCAAGTTGCAGGAAAGACAGCCAACACACCTACGCTATCTATTTGCTTCACGGTTTCGTCGACAACCAGCATCCCTCCACATGTTCTCATATCCGGTCAAACAGGATTTGTTACTCCAGATGCCTTCCTCGCTTACGTCAAAATTTGTGAATTCTTCACCCTGGGACTGTTATTTAAGCCACCCTCAAGCTTGCTGGCGCTAAATTGTTTTCCCAACCTTGTGCGAGGAGTGGTATCTTACTGCCACTTTGCAATTTATTTTCTAGGAACCCCTGGACTCTCAAAAGTTATTAAAGAAACTAAATCTTATCAGAAATTAGTCTAACCTGGAAGACTCGGACCTGAGACATTCAGACCATAGTAGTCTGTCCCCTTACACAAACCTTTGGGATCCCAAGATGACATGTTGGCTAGAGTTAACTTTGCGGTAGACGGGCCTGGTACAGTCAGATGACAATGCAGGCATGTACTTGTAGTGTATGGCAGCCACTCGTGAAATGGGAGATTTGAAAAGCTCACGATTTGGTACAGAGATGACGGGAGTCGTTCCCTAGACCAACTGGCAATTGCTACCCAGGGAACAAGTCTTCCTTCCCGCTTCAACCACGCATTACAGATGTAATGCAACAACAAAAAACAGGATTCTCAGATTTATTTCTCAAACCTTGACACGAGGTCAATCTACAGGAACAACTGCATGAGAGATGGCTTCCTTCAACTCCTGGAGATTTGACGAACCTTGGGAGAACCGAATGCTAATAAATGCTGCCCCCTGGTGACCAGTGTGCTGCACACCCTAGTGATTGCCATCCCACCTACAAAACAAAGATGTCCACGCCATTCTCCTTAATGTACTCCAGGTCATTTTGTGTGTGCAGTAACAGTTTCTTCATCTAGTTTATTTCCTAACCACTAAGGCAAATAAGTTTACTAAGTATCACTGGACATTTCCTATCCCAAATTACTCTGGTTTAGTCCCTGAGAAATATTCCCCGGGTCCAGCGGCCTAGCAAGCGCTAAAGTCCTTGCCTGGAACGGGCCGGGATCCCATATGGGCGCTGGTTCTAATCCCGGCATCCCAGCTTCTCATCCAGTCCCTTCCTGTGGCCTGGGAAAGCAGTTGAGGACAGCCTAAGGCCTTGGGACCCTGCACCTGTGTGGGAGACCTGGAAAAAATTCTTGGCTCCTGGCTTTGGATCAGCTCAGCTCCGGCCGTTGAGGTCACTTGGGCAGTGAATCACCGGACAGATCTTCCTCTGTCTCCTCCTCTCTGTATATCTTTCTAATAAAAATATTTTGAAAAGTGTATTTAAAAAAACCAAAATATTCCCCAAGCACAGGCAAGTCCCAGCTCTCACTTTCCTTGTCTATTACCTTCTAGATGAACAGCTAAGAACACTGTAATATGGGGTTTTAGGTCTGGAATATGTATACTTCGCAACTAGGGTCATACTACAGTCAGACCTTTTTGTTTATTACACTGCCTTTGAGATGCCAATCGAACATGCTGCTCTCATGCTTCATGAATTCAGCAGAGAACAGAAGTTCTGAGTCCAATGTGAATAGGCTAAGCATTAACTCCTTTTTTCTCCACTAAAAGTAAATACTTGCCATCCCACCCTCCAAATGCAGTTGAACTAAGTATGTCATCATTCATATACTATTTCACTTTTTATTCTGCTTTGTGTGTCCTAAACATACATACATGGTGTTTGCCAGGTTGTGAAATTCCAGATGTCAGGGGATGGGGGAAAAATAAGATGGTATACAGTTGTTTGTTTAGTCAAATTCTTAAATTCACTCTAGGGTTAACATGCAAATAGAGGCAATTATAAGATCCTGGATGCTAATAGGCTAGGGTAAACATTTGCTCATCAATTCAAATATTTATTGAGCACCTTTTCATGCAAGGCACTGTGAGACAGCAGAGATCAGTGAATGGAACTGGAAACAGGATGGGTCTAAAACAATACTCCCAAGGCTGCTTTCCCATTTAACAATCTCTCCTACCAGCAGAGTTTACAATAGAATTTAACAGTCTAGATTTGTTCTTTCAGGTTCTCATGTGTAGCCTCCCCATCCTCCAACACACCTCCACCACTATCACTCAACACTTAGATGCTTTTGTAGAGCAGTTCACATTTAATATTCTACAGTTACACCTCAGTTTAAAAAGTTGTACATGTCAATTACTTCCACTCCAAAAATGCATTTTAACTGCTTTTCCCCCCCCACCTGGCAGGCAGTGAGTTTGAATTCTTCAGCTTTTTCTCAGCACTCAGCTACTTATAAAACTTCAATAACAAGAATACAATGACATCAAAGTATTGACACCTTTACAACTCTTGCTTCAAAAACCAATGCGCAAGAGACATATTCTGATTCTTGGTTATCAGTCATCTCTACTAATACCTGGAAATGTGCTGCCTACATGATTTTTGGCTTTTGTTCATTTCTAAGGTTTCTGGTAGTGAGGACCATGAATTATCACTATTTTCTACATCGGTCTTCAAATTACATTTGTTTCTCATTTTACTTCACCCCATTCAAGCATCTTAACCAGTACAGCTGGAAAAAAAAATGTATATGGCTAAACCCTGCCCAAAATAACATAAGGATTGTTTCCTTTTCTTCCGTGTTCAAAACACTTTCAAACTTTGCTACAGAAAAGCCTAATATCAGGTATTTCATTCATAATTCTGAGAAAGCTTCATGAACTATAAAATTACACAAAGTGTACAATTTGTATGAAACTTACATAACTGGGCTTGATCTGTTAGTGACCTTAAATAGATTAAAGAGTAGCTCAATGTCTAAAGGACTGCTTTAATAAAACCTCTTTGTAAATTATGAAAATAGTTAAACATATGGGGGGGTCCTCCAAAAAAGTTCATGGAAAAATGTAGATTATGAAAAAACTATACATTTCAAACTTTTTCTGCACCAAAATAAACATCTCTTCATTTAATTTTCCACAAACTATTTGGAGTGCCCTCACATTATCTTAAGAACATCTACTGTCCTTAGCCACTAAGATTGTTTATGTCTCATTCTTCGAGGTAACAGATAACAACAGCCTTGCACATGCTGGTGCCATGACATCAGCCTTTCTTTACTGTAGGATGACTTCTGAAACAAATACCTGTAACTGAGCTGTACAAAATTCCAAAGTCTTATAGGATCAAAACTTCAACAACTTCCCCCAAATGGCATGTCAGAAGCTTCTGAGAACAGAAAGGAATTCCTGTGATAAAATAAGGTGGCACCTCTCTCAAATACACCTCAGGGGATTAGAATTCTCTATTTCCAACTCAGCACAGATCTCCCAACACCAAGTCTTGCTTTAAATTAGTACAGCTAATTTACTTCAGATTTAAATTCTGCCTTTCAGTCACCAAACTTATTCTGTTCAATTTCTAAAAAAATAGTCACTTTTCAAAAGCAGAAAAGCAAAGATATATATATATATATATTTAATATATAAAAGGAAATGCTAAATCTGGCATAATTATATTCTTAAAAACATTCCATTTATTTACAGATGTGTATAAAAAGGCAAATTATTTATCTAGTGAGATCATGCTTCTTAAAAGAGAGTGAAAGCTCACTGTCTTTCCGGTTCCTCAACGCTTCTCACTCAACTTCATCTTTCAGAACCAAATGTGTAATTTTCATTGACCAGTTTCTCCTGGGTTACATTAAAGTTTTTGGAGATTACAGATTTCTGTCAAGCCTACAAAATTTTTCTGAAGACTAAGCCCTCCTCCAATTAGCTCTGGCAATTCTAACAAGTCTTGAGAGCACTTTACCTTGGGAATCTGCAATATGACATCTGCATTCTTCCCTGAACACAGATTCAACCCAATTTCCATGTTTGCACACCGTTCATACACAGAGTCAAACACCCTCCCATCAAGATTATCATCGATTTTCTTATTTTCTTCTATAAAAAGGAAAGCTCAGAAGCCAAAATGGTCCTTTTCCTGAGGATTATTTACTTGCCTGTTCTTTGGCTGACCTTCAAAAGCCATCAGGAGCCTTGGGAAGTCAGGAGACAATGTGGGGAAGAGACAAGCAAGAAAAACAGTGGGAAAACAGCGATTACCTGGGTTAAAGTACTAGCGTCTCCAGGACAAGTATTAGTAGGGAGACAGGTGCTAGATTCCTTGGCTAAGGCATTGAAAGCAATCTGCTGGGTAAAGAACAAAAGGGACGAGAGGCTGAGGAGCACTCTTCACCTACTCCAAGCTTCTTGAGTGACTTTCAGTGGAGGAAAGGTTAAGCACTGAGAGTGAGTCTAGAAAGGGAAGAATTCACTCATGTGTAACTAGCACATGTCATACACCCTCACAGTCTGCTGATTACCACAGTTAGCAGAAGGGAAACCAAACATGGAAATAACAATTTACTGGTTAGATCCACTTCTCAGGTGCTCTCACAACCCAGGTCTGAAGATACGTTGAGTGGGATTTGGGATATAGTCAAGGGATGTAGAAGAAACACAATCACCTAGGCACAGCCCAGGCACTGGAAGCTCTTGTGTTAGTGTTTTACAACACAAGCAAATCCTGTCAATGAAGACAGAACAGAGATTACATTCCAAAATATAATTATTTAAGAAAGGCAAAATGCAGCAACTAACTCCCAGTCCATACATTTTTCAGAATAGTGATTCTTGTCCCTAGGAGTTTCCAAGAGACCCCTCAAGTGCACCATGATTATTTACAAACTAGATAGGAAACATTTCTATACTCAGTACAAATCTCATCTTCTAGGTTGAAAACGTCAGCCTTTGAGAAATCTATGAAAACAACTATACAAAAATATAAATATCTTTTATCTTTACAGGCTGTCAGTCCTTCACACTGTGACAGCTAATGAATGAAAAATCTCTGTATTTCACTGAATCCATGGTTGCAGATAAAAAATATATCTTGTGATTCAAATACTGCCTTATTTCCCTGGTAAAGAGTGCTGACTGTGACTTTTCTTTGCATCCTGTGCAGGTAATAGTGAATGAAACCTTCAAGCACCAGGAGACTGGTTTGACTCAAGAAAAATCCAGCCCCACAATTTTTTTGTTTGTTTTGGCCACTGTCTGGTCTGGGGAGAAAAGACTTTTTAATTTTAGCTGTCTGTTGAATAACATGATTTGTGAAAGGCAGAGAGGGCCCCTCCTATGCCTACTTCCAAAATACATATTATCCAGCACAGATTCCTGGTATGGTAAATGACCTTTTCAACCTACATCAAGAAAGCAGGGAGAATGTTGTTTTAACATCCCAAAGTTAGTAATAAAAGTTAAAAGTAATCCTACTTTATCAGAAAGCTTGAATTTACAATTCTGATAGAAAAAGTAAGGGAATGGAAGCTACTTGAGAGATGAAAGGAAAAATTTTTGCTGAATGATACAAAGTTCTTCACTTTGGTATTCCATTATAATCACCCTCTCTTGTCCTATTTTTTTTTCTTGCCTTTTTGAGAAACACCTGAAAATGGTCTCTTCTGGATCCTTTTACACAAGTGCATTACATTCCTTAGATTTCAGACTTGACATGACAGCTATCAGCTACAGTTCAGCCCATAATAATAAAGTCTCAAGCAGCTTTTTTCCTTGGGCGGGGCGGGGCGGGGCGGGGCAGAGGGGAAAGGCCGGGGAGCAGGTATCATAGGAATCACTATGGAGCCAGAATCTTGTTAGGACTTCCTTGGACAAGTGGGCACCTCAAGCTCAATAATGGATCTTGGGATGAGGGGACCCAGCACCACAAGTGAGGTAACACAAACAATACGATCTGAATTTCTTCTTATTTCTTATACCAGGGTCAGCACCCTACCCTCTCTGTCATTCACTGCATCACGAAAGAATCACTATTCTATGACAAACAGATGCCTGCAGAGAAAGGTGAAACTCAGTTTTCCCTTACAACCTGGCTTCTGCTTGAAGATAAGCACTCTCATTTCCCTGCAGAAGCTGGAGAGGCTCCAGAGTTGCCCAATTTAGTCACAACAGGTGCCAATGTTGGCATCACCTTGCTCTCCCGGCCTTCCTGGTCACTCCCTGTTAGGTTCATTTTATTTGCAACTGACCCAACTTTGGCAGCTACAGGTGCCAAACAAGGCATCACCTTTGGACTTTGACCATCTGCATCATTAGAAGGATTAGCTACTTTTAAACCTAAAGGGGCCAACTTTGGCATAGGCCTCCACAAAGTGTCTGTACTGCTGCTGTTCTCCGGGCCGGCCTTCATATGCAGGATTGGGGGTGAGGATATACTCTCAGACTCTGCAGCAAGGCCAGAAGTATTCTTTCCTCCATCACTGGCCTTCCTGTGAGAAAGGAGGGATTCCTTTATTTCAGAGTCAATAACAATCTTCAGGACATCTGGCTCAGAAGCTGGTTCTGCAAGTTGTTTTTCACTCTCAGAAAAGTCATCCTCTTCCAAATGCAAGAGGAGAGGACTTATGGAGTCGCTCTCTCCTTGTACATCAGGTAACTCTTTCAAACTAGGTCCGAAGTGGCCAACCTGGAAAGTTGCTCTGTTTGCAGGAAATTTACTGACAAAAGCCCGCCGAGCATCCCCTGAGAACTCCGTATCCACAGAGCTGGGCAATTCAGCCATAGCAACAGAGTCATCATTTAGTTGCTGATTAAGGTAGGCAATCTCATTGAGCAGTGATGTCAGCGTCTCATCAGTATCATCCTCATCTTCCAGGTTTGTGAGCAGTTCACCAGAATCCAGTTCTGCCTCCTCTATGGCTGATGCTACTTTCCTCAGCTCCATCTCTATGTTGGAGTCCTTTAGCTCTTTCACCTTTAGCTTATGAAATGGAGAATCCTTTGACTTTAGTCTCTCTCCTCTTGATTCATTCTCTTTCCACTTACAGTGAATTCCTCTTATGTCACTGGAATTCTTTTTAGGTAAGTACTCCTGAACTTCCTGCGCACTGGAAATGTCAACTATTTGAGGAAAACCAGAATCTTTACTTGTCAGAAAAACCTGCGTTGGACTCAATACCATTCTGCCATCTCTATGATTTCCTTTGGAAGAGATTCTACTCAAATCATCTAAAGAGTTATCTTCATTCCTGACAGAATCTTTCAGGTGGTTGAGTGGCTTGCTATCAGCAACTTCACGGTGACATTTAGAGCCATTCATATCTACCAAATCTCCTTCTGTGGCCAATGATGTCACATTAACAATTCGTGGCATCATAAATAAGTCATCATTTTCTGAAAAATAAAAATTACAGAAAAATCTCACTTAAGATACATATTGGTGGACACCCGAACCTTTATATATATGTGTGTATATATATATATTTTTATATAACCATACCAAATGACTATCTTCACCAGTCTACTTTCATCAAGATGAAAAAAATACCAATACTTAAGAAAAATTCAACCAAAATTCTTTGCTATTCCACCATATTAAACTCATTTTACTTCTCCCTAAATTAATTCTTGTGCTGAGGCAGAAATGCATCTTGACTCTCTTTACTCCATTCAGTGTCCCACTGAGTGGAAAATAAAAGGTCAATGGCCAGAGAGAAGTCCTCCAACGAGGGTCTAGTACCAAGCAAAGACAAAGAACTATTTGGCTAGCAACAAAGTAAGGGGGACTTAACATTAGTAAGGACACTCTTTTCATCTTAACAGAGAATTAGGGGTCTGGATCTAAATCACTAAAAAGACTTCCTTTTTAACTTTATACTTTACCCCCCCAAAACAATGATTCACTCAAAGTGAATCCTGGTAACTGTGGAGTTTACCATTTCAGAGTACAACAGAGAACTGGTAAGTATTTATCAACACCAAGAAATAAACCAATGATTCCTCAACATCTTCCTTTCATTTTGACATTGTTTTTGATTCTTCTCAAGATTAAGAACAATAGGATCTAACAGTTTCCCATCCCAAGTAAAACATCCCAATCCAGACAACAGCTCATTTGTTGCAAAGCAAATGCCAACCTAGCAGCTCTGGATCGTCACAGCTCAGATTTAAAGGCCTTCTCTGTCACAGGGAGACTCCAAGACCACACTTCACAACATACCTGACTGAGCTATACCACTGTTGGGAAGCTGAGGCTTTAGCTCAGCTTCCAAGAGAGCAGGAGAGACAGTTACCACTGGTCCCGGGAACATGGGGCCTTTCAATGTGAGCAGTTGTCCTTGAGGAGTCATCACGAGGTTTGCAGAGGAGTGTGGGGAGTTAGAAGGTGAGGCATTTTCTAAAAGAAAGATAAAAACCGAGTCGAACCCAACAGTCCAGGAATGTACATAGTACCACATTCTTACTTAAAAAGGAAAAAAAGTAAATTTCAAGTTCAGTAGGGGAACAAAATTCACTTGTCTGAATAATGTTTCAATAAGTAATGGTTACCCAGGTACAGATTCTCCTAAGGAAGATAATTAACTTTTCAAGCAACAGAGCCTTTAGAAGTCTTGTTAGTGAATGAAGATGGACATATACAGAACTCTATCCCTAGGCTTCCTTTCCTATCTACATACCTCTAGCAAATTAAGTTGCTAGGCTTCAGGGGTCTCACCTGTGAAATGAGCTGAAAGAACAGATGGCTATTTAACTAGTTAATAATAAAATTTGCTTTTTGAAATCTTAAACTAACTCATGTTTTAGTACCCATCTTTATCTTAATTTCATATAACAAACCAGATTTTTAAACTTATACACTAGACAGAGTAAAAACCAGGTATGTGCTTCTCTAATACAAGCAAGTCACATAAAATTACATAGCCTCCTTAAAAACATATCAACAGGTGATCTGATGAAGAAGAGCCTAACTCAACAAAACTACTTATTCTTTAAAATTTCCAATTTATTTGCCTTAGCTACACCCATACTTCCTCAATCAGCAGAAGCATGTGGAAATCAAACATACAAAGCAATAAAAATGGCAGCTTAAATAAATACTAAAAATGTGACCTAGGATGCTATCAGAAATAGGACTTATATGTTACCATGATTAGTAATGTCTCAGGATTTGCTTGAGTGTATATAGCAATAAACCAATATATAGTTAAATTGTTTTCTTACAACTTATCTCTGATTTAATCAGAACTAAAATTATGGCCAAGAGATGTTCAATCCACTAAACTAAACTGATGTTTGCCTGTATCAAGAAAAGCAAAGAATGTCCCTCCTACCTGTGGCCTGGTCTCTTTTTCTGGAAAGAATCAAAGGTTTTCCCCTCTTGTTATTTATAAACATCTGTCCAAGTTCTACAGATGTAGAAGATCCTTCCTGCTGATTGTTAATTCTGGGAGACACATCAAACTCATCTGATCCCATCTTCTTTTTTCTCTTTTGTGTCTCTAGTGCTTGTTGTTTTGCATAAATATACTCTAGCTTCTTCAGGACCACTTCCTCTGTCTTACCTACAGGTAGATAAGAAATTAATGATCACTCTTTGCATGACTCCACATAACAATGAGAAATAAGAGTCAACTCAAGTCCAGTTGACTTAACTATATTTCCCAAAACTATGGAAGGCACGAGTGATTATAGTCTAAAGGAAATGTCCCATCCAGTCAAAAGGTAACTGCTGAAAACTCTGGGATTTCCAGTCTTATCCTAACTGTAACTACTTAGAAGTTTTGCTGGCTAAAACTATTAAGCTCTTTTGCATAGATAATTTACATATCTCACCTGAAAGTGACGATACTTTCCGTATCAGAATATTCCGTTTTCGGGTAAGGAGGTTTTTCTGTCCTATTAATTTGTCTGCCTGATCGGTTAGTCCCTGAATTTCACTGAAGGCCTAGAACAGAAATAATATGAGGTCCAATTAATGTATTCTTTCCTAAAAATAGGAAAAGTCTACATGATTTCTTTAATAAAAGGAATACTTTTTTAGAAAATTTCATAATACTATTCAAAACAATATTGACGTTTCAGAAATTACTTTTGCTACAAAACTCAAACACAGGTTTTATTTTAAGCAACTTTAAAATCATCTCTTAGTATAAGTAAAATCTGGTTGACATAACTTTGCTCTAAAGGGATACGAATGTTTACCCAAGCTTCTCCAACTCCTACTTAAATAAAAGCAATTCAAATAAAACTACCCTAAGAACTTAGGCATACAGTTAGAACTTCGCCAGCCTGAGTATCTCAGATCTTCTTTTGTAATAACTGTCAATTGAAATTGTTATTTTGGTCCCATGGATAGTTGTCATCAGAACCCCAGGGCAGAGTGCTAAATACACTGCTTCCATTCCAGCATCCAGCTAATGTCCATGAAAGGCAGACAGAGTCAAGTACTTAGAACCCTACTTCGTAGATAGGAGACTGGGAGGGAAGTCCTAGCTTCTGGCTTTAGTCAGGTCTATATCTAGCTGTTGCAGGCATCTGGGCAAGAGTCAATGATGAAAGGACTCTAACTTTCCTTCTCTTTTAAATAAACAAATCTTAATAACAATAAAACCTGTCAACTATCAAGTAAGTTAAAATACCACTCATGCTCTGTTATACAATGTGATAAACTGAGACTGATGTGATGTGGCAGCAGAACAGGCTAATCCTCCTACAAGTGCCAACATCCATACAGGCATCAGTTCATGTCCTGGCTACTCTACTCAGATCCAGCTTTCAGATAATGGCCTGGGAAAGCAGTGGAGGATGGACCAAGTCATTGGACACCTGCACCAACACTGGAGACCCAGAGGAGACTACTGGCTCCTGAATTCAAATAGGCTCAACTCCAGCCGTTGTGGCCATCTTGGGAATGAAGCAGCAAATGGAAGATCTTTCTTTCTCTGTAAATCTGCCTTTCCAATAAAAACAAATCTTAAAAAGGAATAGTGATAAATTATTTTAAGTGCTTACAATAACAACGTATCATAGTGTGCAATGCCAGCATCCCATTTACAAAGATCAAACAAATCCATACTGTGTCACTATGGATCCAAATTCCTAATATATCTAGGAAAGCAGAAGACATCTCAGGCATTTGGGTTTCTTTTTTTTTTTTTTAAAGATTTATTTTTATTATTTTTTAATTGGAAAGGCGGATATACACAGAGGAGAGAGAGAGAGGAAGATCTTCCGTCCGATGATTCACTCCTCAAGTGAGCGCAACGGGCCGATACTATGCCGATCCGAAGCCAGGAGCCTCTTCCGGGTCTCCCACGCGGGTGCAGGTTCCCAAAGCTTTGGGCCGTCCTCGACTGCCTTCCCGGACCACAGGCAGGGAGCTGGAAGGGAAGCAGGGCAGCCGGGATAGAACCGGCGCCCATATGGGATCCCGGGCGTGTAAGGCGAGGACCTTTAACCACTTGCGCCACCGCGCCGGGCCCGGCATTTGGGTTTCTGCCAACCATGTGGGAGACCGAGATGGGTTTCCAGACTCCTGGCTTCAGCCTGGCCAGCCTTGGTTGTTGAGGTCCTTGGGAAAGTGAACCAGTGGATTCTGACTTTCAAATAAATAAATAAATCTCTTTTTTTTGCTTTTTAAATGCAGAGATATAGTACACACTGCTAAAGAGAATTCTGACAACTTGAAGGAAGATCATCTTTACTAACAATGTGATTTTCAACAAAACGCTACTCTGACTCATCACAGTCATTTTTCCTGAGACAATTAATAGGCATTCACTACTCCACATTTAATTGTTATACGTCCACGTAGCTCTAGTCCCATCTCCTTTCTATGGCAACCAATTTCTTTTCTTACTGTATCTGTCAGATTCTCTGAAAACTAGAAAAGTAGCTTATATAAAACACTTACCCGAGTAAGTATGAGACTTTTCGAAACCTTTGAAGAATGAAGTAATCCTAATGTCATCTTCAGTTTCTCAAAGAGCTCCCTCATCTCTCCACGTCGCCGCCGCTCGTTGGCAGTGTGTGTCCGGCGGTAATAAGCAAAAGCTTCAGCTTCTTTCTGTAGTTTTTCACTCCAGTAATCAGCTTTCGGTTTGAGAGGAGCTGATGGAGCCTGTCCAAGAAAGATTGATTTCTAAATATATTTCAGATAAACCATCCTCTTTCTCCACTGCCTGTAACTCAGGCACACATCATCTTCTGGACTGTTTTAAGAGCCTCTCAATGGTCATTTTACTACTAGTCTATCCTTCCTCCAAATATCAATAATACCAACTTTGAAATCTCAATACATGCTGATATACTGAAATTATTTCCCAAATCACATTTTGTGGTTTTCAACAGAAGGAGGAGGGAAAGATTATGAAGAGGAGCACCTAGAAAAGGTGTATTAGGAGATCTAGAAAAGCTTATCATATAATTTATTATTACTACAATTTGTTTCCACAACACAGACTACATGAAAAAAAAATCTTATTTAGTGGAACACATACATCATAAAGAAAAATTTCAATACTGTTAACACTCTCAAATTACGGAAAAGGGTCGACATTTTTGTACACCATTCCTCTTTTCAGTCATTCCTAACTGCCAGAAATTCCCAAACACACTGTGCAACCCCACACCGTCCTGACAATACACACAGGTTTTTGCCTATATCTGAATTACTCTTTTTTCCTTCTACACAATCCTCCATAGCATTTATGACTAAGCAGTTAAAACTCTGTACTTTTCCAGGAAACTTATTCTTAAATGCCTTAGGCTTCCCCAAACATGCACAGCTGACAGTTTAAAATATACAAAGAGTTTTAGGAAATCCAACTACACCCTGAACCTATAACCAGACCCCAGAAACAACCACTTTTTGATTCTTTCAGTACTATCTTTCAGGTCTTAAATCTATAACACAAATAAAAAGTGCTAATGTAAGCCAATTCTTTAATTCTTTTCCAATTTCAAAGTTATCTATTGACTTCTTGCTATGAGGAGAATGTATATTGTTCACATCTACCTAATAACAATTTAGTTCTACTATCTCTTAGCAATCTGAATATCATTTTATCTTAATTGGTCATTCCATTAACATTTTACCTTGCCTTTTAAAAAAGATTTATTTTTTATTATAAAGTCAGATATACAGAGATAAGGAGAGACAGAGGGAAGATCTTCCGTCCAATTATTCATTCCCCAAGTGGTCCCAACGGCTGGTGCTGAGCAGATCCAAAACCAGGAGCCAGGAACTTCCTCCGGGTCTCCCACACGGATGCTGGAACCCAAGCCATTGCGCCGTCCTTGACTGCTTTTCCCAGACCACAAGCAGGGAGCTGGACGGGAAGTAGGGCTGCTGGGACCAGAACTAGCGACCATACGGGATCCTAGCGCATTCAAGGCAAAGACTTTAGCCACTAAGCCACTGCGCCGGGCCCTTACCTGGCTTTTTAAATTTGCAAAATGAGGATGTCAACATAGGCATCACTTATTCTTTCTTCTCACCTTTTGTCATTTGCATTTACTCATTTTGCAAGATTTAAGTCATCTGGGCCCGGCGCGGTGGCTCAGTGGTTAAAGGTCCTCGCCTTGCACGCCCGGGATCCCATGTGGGCGCCGGTTCTAATCCCGGCAGACCCGCTTCCCTTCCAGCTCCCTGCCTGTGGCCTGGGAAAGCAGTCGAGGACGGCCCAAGGCTTTGGGATCCTGCACCCGCGTGGGAGACCCGGAAGAGGCTCCTGGCTTCGGATCGGCATAGTATCAGCCCGTTGCACTCACTTGGGGAGTGAATCATCGGACGGAAGATCTTCCTCTCTGTCTCTCCTCTCTGTATATCCGCCTTTCCAATGAAAAAATAATAAAAATAAATCTTTAAAAAAAAAGATTTAACTCATCTATATTTTATTCATAGGCTATTAAAAATCATTAATAGTAGTTATACAATAATGCATTCTGAAAATTAATGACACAAAGTAATAATAATTTTTCTAACTTTTAAAACTGGTTTTGTGATTTTTTTTTCCTCTTGTATTTCCAATTGTCACTTTTTGGACAGTCTTTGTCTTTATTATGACCCTAATACTATGTAAAAACTCTCACATAAAGCCTTGATCTTTCAAAAGCTGTGTACAATAACAGTGACAGAATGAAAAAAAAAATGGACAGAAAATCAGTATGAAGTTTAAATACAGCAAAACATCACAAGCATCTGCAAGTTAATAATTTCTGTACATAGACAGGACAGGAATTTGGTCAATTGGTTAAGATATCACTAGCCACACCAGCATTCCACATTGGGAATTACCGGTTTTAAGTCCCTGCTTTGCTCCCAATTCCAGTTTCCTGCCAATGTACACCCTAAAAGGTAGCAGAAATATGGACCAAAGCTTTGGGGATCTGCACCCTTGTAGGAGAGCTAAAGGAATACCTGGCTCCTGGCTTCTGATTTTCTCAGCTCTGGCCACTGTGGCCATTTGGGGAGTGAACCAGCAGACAGAAAATAAGTCTCTCCTCTCTGCAAACCTGTCTTTTAAATAAGTTAAAATCTTTAAAAAAAAAAAAAAAGATAAAAACCACATTAAGGCATAATCTCCTAAAAGGTAACAGTTGATTACATTAACTCATTGAGAAAACAAACAAAAAAACCACTGAATTGGGGGGTAGGAAGACTGCGTGGGTAGAGAATGTTGATACACCCAATGTTGTTTTAACCCTACAACAGATGTTTTCAAGTTTATTAAATGGATAATTATGAAATATATTCTAAATACCTTTCGACTCCGTTCACCAGGTTTGTCATCTGCAGAGATAGTGGTACGGCACCTAGATAAACACAGTACTTTTTAATAACTTACTGAAATTCAGTTATCTTTGAACATATTTGAAAATGTGTATATAATGAGATTCTTTATCATCTGGGTTTAATATATAGCCATAATTTATTCAAAACAGTACTTCCTTCCTCTAAGAAAAGTATCAAAATTGTTAAACTGTATTTTTCAAATTAGGAACTATTTCAGAAGTATAAAATGACATAAAAAAATATTATGAACACCTGGGTATGTACTACACAGACTGGTAAGTAATATATGCTGGGCCTGGTACAACAGCCTAATGGTTAGATCATCGCCGTGCAAGCACCAGGATCCTATATGGGTGCTGCTTTGTGTCCTGGCTGCTCCACTTCCCATTCAGCTCCCTGCTTGTGGACTGGGGAAGCAGTGGACGACGGCCCAAAGCCTTGGGACTATGCATACACATGGAAGATCCAAAAGAAGTTCCTGGCTTCTGGCTTCTTTTCCAGGTACATGGGCAAAAAGCTGGATCAGAAGTAGAGCAGACAAGACTTGAATCAGTATCAATATGGAACGCTGGCCTTCCATTTGGAGATTTAGCCTACTACATGGTACCAGTCCCAATTTCTTTAAGAGTAAGGTATTCTAAATTTTATCTGTTTACTAATTGAGCAAAGTACAGGTGGAAAGATTTTCCTGTCATAAAACGAAAAGATGCAGGGCATGAAGACTTGGCAAAGCTTATGTTTCTTGTTTTGGTAAATCTTGTATTTATTTAGGACTTGGTATCATTGAGGAAAAGGGAGACACTGCCTCTTTTGTGACAGACATTGTACTTTCCCTTTTACCTCATTAACTCTGAAGTAGAATAGTAACAAAAGCTGAGAAAGCATCATTATCGCTGCTGAGCAGGACTATTCATTTTCTTCAGTCCAAAATTATGTTTAGGCTACTTGGGTTACCTACGAGTTAAGCTTAGATGAACTTAAAGCCCTGAAACAAATCAGAATTGGCATCAGCAATACTACTGAACTTATTGGGTTTTGTCTACTAAAACTGAGTTCTTTAGCAACAAACAAAAAATGTAATATGAAACATCATTTATAACAGTAACAGGAAAAAAAGCTCTCTGGTATATGTGTAATGAAAGCTTTGCAGCTCTCATAAAATTGTACTGAGGGGCCAGTATAGTAGCATGGCGTGCTAATCCTCTGCCTATAGCACTGGCATCCCACGTGGGCACTGGTTCAAAACCCAGGTGTTCCACTTCCAATCCTGTTCCCTGACTGTGGCCTGGGAAAGCAGCAGAGGTTGGACTAAGTATTTAGGAACCTGCTCCCACATCGGAGGCCAGGAAGAAGCTCTTGGTTTCTGGCTTCAGATCGGTTCAGCTCTAGCCATTGTGACAATATGGGGAGTGATCCAGCAAATGGAAGATCTCTCTCTCTAACTTGGCAACTGAAATAAAATAAATCCTTTACAAAACTGTATTGAATGACTGAGAAATCAATAAATGGAGAAAATGCCACATTGATAGAAATAAGCAAACACAAAGAATACAAATCATAAAAGGAACACATTGCAACTAAAGACTTAAATAAATTATCTTTAAAAAGATCTGAAAGACAGAAAGGGTGGGGAGACAGAAGCAATTCTCTATCTGCTGGTTCATTCCCCAAATGGCCACAACAGCCAGGGCTCAGCCAGGAAGAAGCCATAAGTCACGAACTCTATCCTGATGTCCCACATGTGTGGCAGCCCTAAAGAACTTGGATTGTCTCCTCTGTCTTATCAGGCTAATTAGCAGAAAGCTGAATCAGAAGTGAACAGCCATTTTTTTTCCCTTTTTTAAAAAAATTATATTTTTGACAATCCTTACATAGTTAATTAGGGTAAAAAGGTTCAAGGGCTACAGGAAAATGGGTAAGACTATTAGTTCCATATTGTTTCCTTCATATATCTGAGGTAAAGGGGGATTTTAACAGAGAAGCCCCACCCAGTCTCCCACCCCAGGCCCCTGTTGTAGGGCAGGCTTCAAGGGTCCTGCTCAAGTGGTTTTGATAGTTCATCAGCCATAAACTGCTGCCAATCTTGCCATTCTAAGCACGATAAGGTTGCTGAAGAATCCACTGATTGACATAGCCCATCATAGTGTCTCCATTTGCCCAGTATTTCACTGCCAACATATAGCTGAGGTGGTTGATTGACCTGTTCTGTCTTCTGTCTTTTCATGGTTAGGGTTCTGAGTCCAGTAGCTTGACTGCGGTGATCCCCAGAGAAACCTTGTCTGAGGAGTTCCCAGACCAGATTCTTGTATGTACTAGCAAGTACAGGACCTGGCACAGTCCATCGCCCCATCAGCTGGTGGTTGCAATTGCTGGGTTGGTTCTGTCTCCAGCCCTGTCTTCCACACAAATCAATGGGTGTTGCAGTCCAGCCTGATTCTGCCCAGCACACACTTGGCCTTCACATAAACCAGTGGGAGCTGCAGCCTAGTCAGAGCGACCCACAATAACCCCCACCAGGCCCGCCCCTATCCTGGTTTGCCAGTATGTGCAGCAGACTAGTCCAGTCTGTCCCACATCCCATTCAGCTTTCATACATGTCAATGGGTATTAAAGCCTAGTTCCATCTAACCAGCCCAACTATCCAGTCCTCATGGATGTTGTTGGGTACCTTTCTGTCTAGCCACTCCATCCCCTGCCCTAGTTTTTGTGCCCTCTCGTGGGAGTGGTAACCGAAGAGGGAGGAGCCCACTATTTCTCTCCCAGGTCATTCCCACTCCCGGATTAGGCACTCTCCAGGTGGTTTTGCAGCTTAAGTTGACAGAATCAGCCCCCAGTGCCAGCATCTGCCAGCTGATGCTGCGAGTAGCTTTCTTTCTCTTTTTAAAAGATTGACCTGGGGCCTGGTACAATGGTTCAGTGGCTAAATTCTCGCCTTGCAAACACTGGGATCCTATATGGGTGCTGATTCATGTCCTATCTGCTCCACTTCCCATTTCAGCTCCCTGCTTTGTGGCCTAGGAAAGCAGCAGAGGATAGTGGTCCAAGGCGTTAGGACCCTGTACTAACATGGGAGACCCAGAAGCAGCTCCTGACTCCTGCTCAGTTCCAACCCAGACCTGACTGTTGTGACCACTTGGTGAGGGGACCAGCAGACAGAACATCTATCCCTCTGTTTATCTCTTTATGTCTGCCTTTCCAATTAAGATAAATAAGTCTTTAGACAAACAACAAATAAAACTTTAAGAAAATAAAAAACTTGAAAAAGATAAAGGAATTAACCTTTATTGAGTAGAGTATGTCAGTTATGCTAGTTAGATTTATCACTGGACTGTCAATTATGCAAGCTGGATTTATCATCGAACATTTTCAAAGGAGATATTTTCCTTATTTCATCAGTAAAGAATCAGAGATGCAGAGTAAAAACGTCTCAAGGTTAAACATCTACAAACTAGTAAATCCACCATTTAACATAAATGTATCAGGTTCCAGAATATTATTCATATTCACATGCTGCCTAAGAGAACGATCATGCCAAGAAAAAAAGACTAACAGAAGAACTAAGTCAGTTACCCCAAGCTCCTAAACAGAACAGTTTTGTTTCTGATTACAAAGCAACAAAAAACAATTCTAAAAGCAGTAAAACTTACGGCTGTTTGGATGACTGTGGATGAGCAACTGTGGTCTTCTTGTGGACAACAGTAACTTCCTGTGGAAGCTCTTCTATGGTCTCAATGTCCACCTGTTCCTCATCTTCCTCAATGCATTCTACAGAGTTACTCTGAAACACATCATTGCAATAGTAAGTAATTAACTGGGAGGTGAGCATACCTGAACTGTTCAACTACATGTTCCCCTTATAAAAGACAAGTAGTGCCAATCATTGAGCACCAGCAGTACTGACAAAATCCTATGCTTATTATTCATTTAAAAAGGAATTAGAAAGACAACACACAATTAGTAGCAACAATCTACAAAAACACTTAAGTCCTAGGTATGCTTTAAACAGACATTACTCATCATTAGATTAAACAGAGTGCCCCACTGCAAGGTTGCTTCAGTGTTTTTTAGAGCACAAAACATAGGTACTGAATGTACTAAAGCTTTACAGCCTCAAGATCACATGACTGTAAATAAAAATTCAGTGAGGGAGAAGGCAAAAGGGAAAAATTCAGGCTCTGTTTTAAGGGGGCTTCATGACTAACACTGTTTTGGATTCCTAGAAATGAATACACATATTAAACATACACAAGGAAAAAATAAAAACAGTCTCTATGTTGGCTTTGATAGTCCTTCAGCCTCACAGAATGAGAGCTTCTGAGAAACTCAAAACTGCTGACTTATGTAGCAAGAGAATTTTACAGATAGAACTAAACTAGAGTTCTATCTTCTATAACTGCACCGTATGCACAGCACAAAGAGGCATAACTAAAAACAAAGAATCCCAAACATCTTACTAACTCTATGTTTAAATTTGTTGGAAAAATTATTTACCTCCAAATTATAGGCTCCACAAGGCCAACAGACACTAAACACAGACTAACATTTAGTTTCCACACCCTTATAATTTAAGCATATTTTAAACAAGGTATATTAAGTTTAAAGCACACATTAAAATTAACTCTAGGAAAGTAAAATCAATGTGGAGCCACAAAAAAGAACCCAAAGAATCAATAACGTAAGTTCATGCTCTACAATACCAACTGATGAGGGTCTGCCTAGTGCACCCTCACAAATTAGATCACACAACCTTCACAATGCAAAATTCACATTGAAACAGCCAGTCACAACTTTCTGTAACATGAGTATGGGTCAATGTGCACAAATGCAATGTAGAATTTAAATTTTAGAAATAATTTAATATAAGCAATGCCACACTCTAAAGTTTTATTAAGTCCGTTCTACATAGAAGCAGTCTTCACTGGCTTTAAAAGTGGATTGCTACTTTTGACTGACATTTCTCTGGGTTGACTTACAATGGGAGATTCTGCAAAGAACACAATAATTCTCAATATTTAACTACCATACTCATGCTCATTTAGATTCCTTAGCTACCTATAGATATTGGTCCATGAAAGACATTACTCAGAGTATATGAAGCAAACACACATGGAATCATTTAACTTTTAGAGCTAGATCCTTACAAGCAACTGAAATAGAGGTAACTAACAGAGGCTAGCAGGATAGCTCAATTGGCTAATCTCTTGCCTGCAAGTGCTGGCAGCCCATATAGGTGCTGGTTTGTGTCCCAACTGCCCCTCTTCTTATCCAGCTCCCTGCCTGTGGCCTGGGAAAGCCAGATGGGGACTTGGACAGGGCTTCTAGCTTTGGACTAGTTCAGCTCCAGTTGTTGTGCCATTTGGGGGAGTGAACCAGCAGATGAAAGATCTTTCTCGGTGTCTCTCCTCTCTGTATATCTGCCTTTCCAATAAAAATTAATAGATCTTAAAAAAATAAACAAAGCTTGAACATATTCATTTTTTCATTTTTATCTGTATAACCAGCTAACACAGAGGCTGAATGAAACCTAAGGAACTGACATTCTAAAGTGATCAGCTGCATCACAATGCACACAACTGCTACCGCAACTCAAGGAGTGGGACACCATGTGGCCATCAGCTGGCTGCGATCACCTTATGTGTTACATCTTACATATAATATGGGTCAACAAACAACAGGCTGCATTACTTTGTATGAATCAAATTGTTCTAGAACTCAACAATGTTCATTCACTTATGAGTAACTGAATCATCTAGTCTATGTAGTCTAAAATATTATTTGGCCCTTTGCAGAAAAAGTTTCTCTAACTGGCTCTCACAATATGCAGCCGCTTAATTCAATTCAATCTTAATTATAAATCCCGCAAGAAATACTTAAGGAGAAATTGAAAAAATTCAAAAGATTATATTACACAGAATAATGCCCAAAGTCTACACAGATGGGACATCTTGCTAAAGTTCATGGAGGGCACCCATGCTGTGGAATAGTGGATTAAGACACCACCTGCAGTCTTGGCATCTGATATGAGGGCCAGGTCAAGTTCCTGCTGGTCTACTTCTGATCCAGCTCCTTACTAATGTGTCTGGGAAAGCAGCAGATGAAGATCTAAGTGCTTGGGCTCCTGCCACCTGCATGGGAAACTTGGATCAAGTTGCAAGCACAAATCTGTTGTTTATAATAACTGGTGGTGAACCTTCCCATTACTAGAGAGGATCAAGCAAAGACTTAATTATTTATCTCCCAGAAGTAAAGAAAGACTTGAAGGATAGAACACTAGAGAGATCTTCTAAGGTCTTCTGTAATATTAAGATTCTAAAATGTAGACAACAGGGACAGCATTTGTTGTAACAGATAAAGCTGCTACCTACAATGTTCACCTCCTACATGGGTGCCGGTTTGTGTTTCAACTGCTCTACTTCGAATCCAGTTCCCTGCAAAAGGCCTGGAAAAAAACAGCGGAAAATGGTGGCTCCAGTGCTTGGGCCCTGCACCATGCGGCAGACATGGAAGAAGCTTCCAGATTCAGCATGACCCACCTATAGCCACTGCAGCCATTCAGAGAGAAACTAAGGGATGGAAGATCACCTCCCTAACTGCCTTTCAAATAAGTAAAAATAAATCCAAAAACTATGTATGAGTTTTTTGGGTGTTCTTCTTTGCAAAGTGAACTTTTTTTAAATTTCATTTTTCTATAAACCTTTCCAAGTACCCATATGTAAATGCTACATGCATATTCAATGATAATTTTAAAAATCAATTTAAGGCAATATTGTGTTAAAATGTCAGATACATAGAATTTCCTAGTTTTTCTCCAGAAATAAAAACACTTCTCTAAATGCAGGCAGATGAGCTTTCCATATCTCTGTTTCTTATTTCACTCTGTTTCTTATTCCATTAGGTCAGCCACAATCAATTCATGTAGAAAGTCACAGGAACTTACAAATAAAATGGGAATAATGGGTTGGTGATTTTTAAAAATCCAACACGGTAGAAACTCTCCAACACTTATTCCGTAAGGACTCAATCTTGGCTTCCCTTAACTGGTACACAAGCCTCAGCGAGCAACATAAGCTTAGTAAATGCTTTCTGATAAACAGAGTCCTAAAACTAAAATGTTAATCACAACCTAACTACACACTCCAACTGAATATATTAAGTCCTAGAGGTCTTTTTATTTTCCTTTCTTATTTTTTAAAGATTTATTTTTTCTTTTTGGAAAGGCAGATTTACAGAGAGATGGAGAGATAGAAAGATCTTCCATCTGTTGGTTCACTCCCCAAGTGGCTACAACAGCTAGAGCTGAGCCAAAAGTCAGGAACCAGGAGCTTCCTCCAGGTCTCCCACACAGGTCCAAGGCTTTCCCGGGATGTAAGCAGGGAGCTGGATAAGAAGTGGACGAGCCAGGATATAAATTGGCGTCCATATGGGATCCCAGTGGATGCAAGGCAAGGATTTAACCACTGCACTATTGCATTGAGCCTCTTAAAGATCTTCTGAAAAAGCTACTATCCCTAACAAGCCAGTTAAATCCTTGAGGTTTCAGTCACAACAAAAATAAGCTCACCACCTTTTCTACATCATCAACCTCCTCACTCTGGTAGCCAGAAACAACATCCACAATTTCATCAATAGAATCATCGGTTTTCTCATTTTCATCTTCCTCATCCTCTTGCAAATCCAAAACAGGGTAGTCAGCACTGCTTCTCCCACCCTTCTTCGCTTGCTTTGGTTGTATTTGCTTTCCTCGTAGTTGTGGGTGACCCTGGACACGTCCATTCCCTCTGCTCCCTTTTGCAGCTCTCCGAGGAACAATGGAGAAGGCTGCAGCCTTAGAAATCTTAGTCCAAGAATCATCTTCAGTTTTTAAACCTCTGGCATTCTCAGCAGTTGCATTTCTTGCAAGTAAGTCAGAGTTGCCTTCTGCTTGTTGAAACACATCTGAATTTTCTTGACACGTCTTTGCTTCAATTAACTGTTCCTCTGCCTCTTTCTTACATTCTTGTGATGTTTCAGCATTCTTCCAGATAAAGGAGCCCTTTGGGTGTCTCCTCCATCTCTCCTTACTATTGTCCTTCTCTACAGAGTTTCCACACCCCTTCTCACTGGCCTCAGGCTGTGTATTACACCTTTGTTCCACAACTCTGCTCCCTGATAATTCACGTTTAATTTCTTCCTTAGAGACAACTGGAAATTCTTCCAATTTTCCCTCCAAATTGTTAAATTCTTTCTGCTGCTCCACCTTCACATCTCCAAGCTTTTGAAACTGCCTCGTAAGATTTGATTTTTCTTTGGAATTGCTATGATTCCTAGTCCCACATTCAGTAATATCTTCAGAGTCTTCTGTGTGTGACCCAGTGTTACACGAGTACTCAGAAGACTTCATAGTTGCAGGACCTTCTTCCGTTAACACTTCATCATCCACTTGAGCACCTCCTTCTTCCAAGGAGTCATTCAGGGTGTCTTCTGAGGCAGCAGCAGCTCCTAAGTTTTGCTTAATTTCATTAGCCTCAAAGTCTACAGCCTCTCCTTCATACTGTAGAATGTTCTTAGTTTCGGGCTCTCTTTTTACAGAATGTGTTTCATCTTTTTGGTCAGCATTCATGGGTTCCTTCTTCATCTGAAGGGAAGCCACATGTTGAAGAATGGAACTAGGAACAGACTTTTGTCCTGGAAGCTGCAACAAGGCAAAACTACCAGACTGGAGAGGAATGAGACTGGCTGTACCAACAGGCTGCCCTCCTGAACTATAGGTTATTTTGGTTTCTGATCCTGTTTTATTTGTAAAGCTTTGTGGTTCAGGAGGGGAAATTCTCAGGGTCAATGTGCCAGCCTGAGATACAAAATTAGGTCCAGAGGAAAGCACTGATGGTGCCTGAGTGATAACATTTACTGCTGGGGAAGATCCAACAGCCTGAATAACAGGATTCACAACAGAGAAAGTAGAGGATGAAGCAGAAGATGGTGGAGTCTCCGAAGGTTTGGAAGGAGCAGGTAATCGGATTCCCATCACCGATCCTGGTAAGAAAAAAGAAAATTTGAAATCACTATTACCCACATCTAAACTTCAAAGGTATGCTTTTCTTTTTGAAAAGGTTACTCCAAGACACTAAGAATAATCACCAAGGGGTATTAACATGGCATATGACCAATTGATTTTTACAAAGAAAATCTCATCAGAAAGATTTCAACTTTGTACCTGGGTTCCGAAACATGACAGGCTGCAAGTTGGGCTGGATGTTAGATCCCCGAAGCTGATGTAAAGGTAGGAGCTGGACAATCTGCCCATTAGGGTGCCTGAAAAGATTCATTCCACTTGGACTCCTAACTGGTTGTAGGACCATCCGCTGTCCCTGAAGCTGTGTGTTAGGAACAGCAGGTCTCACAGGAGGAGAACCCTGCTGCACCGGAATCAGCAAGAGTCGAGGTCCAGTTCGTTTCACTGTGTTAGGAGACACGTGTGGATTAGTCACTTGAATCTGAGGGGTATTTTCTGAAAAACAGGAAATGGAATCCTAGTATCAGAATTTCCCTTTAACAACCATAGGAAAAAAATCTACTATGACATAGGATCAGATGATACTACAAATGACTTTAATGTGAATCATAAAAATTGGCAAAACCCAGTCTTTATAATATCTATTTATGCTAAGAACAAATTGCTTTGCACTCTGTGCATATTCATATTTAAAATAGTTCTAAAAAGCATCAATTACCAAGATGTGTATCTAAAGAGGTGATGCCTTTATGTGATGAAAAACATGAGCAGGCCTCTGAAGCTTGATTCTCATGAGAGCCAGATACTTTCTGATAAAACTCTTCAACTTTTCCAATGAAAGCAGACTGGAGCTGGTGTTATAGGCTAGGCCTCCACCCATGGCACTGCCATCCTATATGGGCACCAGTTGGAGTCCTGGTTGTGCCACTTCCCATCGAGCTCCCTGCTCATGGCCTGGAAAGCAGTGGAGGACGGCTCAAGAGCTTGAGCCCCCGTACTCATTTGAGAAACTAGGAGGAAGCTCCTGGGTCTTCTTGTCAAATTGGCCTAGCTGTGGCCATTTGCAGCCATTTTGGCAAAGACCTCTCTGTCTCTCCTTCTCTAATTCTTTCAAATAAAAATAAATCTTAAAAAAAAAAAAAAAAGGAAGGCTGGTAAAAGTATACTTATGATTTCATTTCACAGCTTATACTCAAGGAAGGTAAGTCAACAACTAAAACCACAAGGTATATAAAAAGCTTTTTTTGGCTTAAAATCCACTAACAAATAAACAAAGCAGAAGAATTTGTGAAAATTCTTTCAAAAGGAAAAAAAATACATACCCCCCCAAAATGGAATGAAATTAAGAGACATCAAAGAAGCAGGGAAATAAAGCCTGGTTAGAAAAAGGCAAAACACAGTTTTAAACAAACAGAAAAACAGAAATTTAATGCAGAAAATTTAAATTAAAAGATTTCAAAACATTACTACTAAAGATGCACTGTAAAGTTTAGGAAAGATACTTAGAAATATTGAAGATAGGGAAAAATAATGAATATCACCCATTGAAAATTTTTTTGGGTGATAGGGATAAAAAGGTAAGAACAGCAACGAATATAAAAGAACCTCGTCTACCATTATCATCCAATTTGATAAAGTTATTAACATTATGAATAAATAAAACTTTAATAGCTTTGCTACTAAACAGGAAAAGAATAAAAAATCAAAAATTTCACCTTAACAATGCAATTTTCTATTAGACAAGAACGCAACACACCTGCCACAATTATTCCATAATATTTCAATGATAATTACATGCATATAAGCTAGCTTTAAGACTTCTTATAAAATGACACAAACCAAATTATTCATAAAAATAATGTGCCATTTAAACAAAAAACATGTACCTTAGACGGACTAACAAAGGTTGACAAATTCTTATTCAATTCTGTTTAAATTTTAGAAAATGATTCAAATTCTAAATTTCAGCAATTCAGAGAATAAAAACAATCTTAACAAATGCCTTAAATACGTCTATTTCAATATGCAAGTGGGAACAGGAAAAAGTCAAATGGAAAGTCACAAATTGCTAAGTTTTTATGAACTGAGAACTAACATATGCACTGGCCCTAGAAGTGGTATTTATCTGAGTGAACTCTGCTTACAAAAGAAAGATAAGAAAACCAGTAACATTCAAATACCTTTAGGAGGTATTATGGATGACATTTTAGGTGACAGATAGAATAAAATCCTATCATATCACAGAAAGGTAACCTCCCTTCAAATTTCAAATTATTGACTATATAGAAAAGAGAATATCAATCTTTGATGCTACATATTATTATTCCAGCATTTTCCCCGGTTTTTCATTAATAGAAAGCATGCCACATGTGAAGAATGTGGCTAAATGGAATTTAATACAATTACTATTGTTTCCAGTATATGTGGTTAAACCCGTAGTGTAGCAAGTAATTTAGGCTTCTAACCAATATTGTTTTTAAAACGCATTTAAATTTTTAAAAAGTTGATGTTAATTAAAAAAAAAGTAAATGACACTACAGTAACTGACAGGATTTGGAGTAAAATGATATATTTCTTAAATAATTTAAGTCTGAGAAACAATGGAACTAAAAACTAAACTTTTTAACAGTCTAACGACATTAAAAGTAAAGAGAAGCCTGGACTCCTCAATGATTTCGAAGGCATGATGTGGGCCCAGCGTGGTAACCTTGCAGTTAAGAGTCCTCTCCTTGAATACGTCAGAATCCCATATGGGCACCAGTTCTAATCCCAGCAGCCTCGCTTCCCATCCAGCTCCCTGCTTGTGGTCTGGAAAAGCAGCCAAGGACAGCCCAAAAACTTGGGACCCAGCACTTGTGCGGGAGATCTGGAAGAAACTCCTGGCTCCTGACTTTGGATCGACTCAGCTCCGGTCACTAGGACCACTAAGTGAATCAGTGAATGGAAGATTTTCTCTCTCTCTCCTCCTCTCTCTATATCTGATTTTCCAATTAAAAAAACAAACAAACAAAAACAAAAACAAAAAACAAAAAAACTTAAAAAAAGAAACATATTAAAATATACAACATGAACCTTAAGATTCAGTAGAAAACAGTACCACCATCAGTTACCTCCCCACAAAACTACATATATGTTAAACTAACCATTATCTTGCAGGTTTTTGGGGGTTTTTTTGGATGGGGAGAAACACAAGACAAATTCAACACCATTATTCTTTTAATAAAACTACAAATCACAAACTAATTGCAAATATTACTAATCAGAAAATATCAGTAACAAAGAACTGTTGGAGGCTATTTATTTTCTCTAAAGCCCTGCAAATTCACTTTTGCACAATAATTCTTCTTTGTACTCAAAGCATACTTTAAAAACCCCACTTATTTCAACTAGTTAGAGCTGAATATTAAAGTTACCCAAGTATCAGGGTCATTATCACTGTGGCACAGTAGATAAAGCTGCTACCTGTAATGCCAGTTTCCTATAACGGTATCAGTTTCTGTCCTGGCTTCTTTACTTTTGATCCAGTTCCCTAGTCAAGGCCTGAGAAAGTAGCAGAAAATAGTTCCCACATGGAAGCTCCGCCTCCTGCCTTCAGACTGGTTTAAGCCCTGGCTATTGCAGCCATCAGGGGAGTAAGCCAATAGAAACATGGGCTGGGAAGATCAATTAATCTGTTTCTATCTCTCCTTCGCCCTCCCCAACTGTATCTTTCAAATAAATAAACAAATCTCAAAAATACTATGGAAGTATAGGATGTTTCTAAGTTACAAAACAAAAAAAATTTTTTAACTGATAAATATGAAAATTAGAAACTAAGAAAAAGTCTGTTAGCTTATGCATAATAACTAAATGAGTGCTGATTTATAAATTATTTTTATGAGGCAAGAGGAACTAGAACAGCAGGAGTAAATATTAACCTTCAGTACAAAACATAAAAAGGGCTCAGAGCGGCAGCCTAGCATGGGCCAGAATCCCATATGGGTGCTGGTTCTAATGCCTGCAGCCCCATTTCCATCCAGCTCCCTACTTGTGGCCTGGGAAAGCAGTCAAGGACGGCACAAAGCCTAGGGACCCTGCACCCACGTGAGAGACCTGGAAGAGGATCTTAGCTCCTGGCTTCGGATCAACTCAACTCCGGCCATCACGGCCCCTTGGGGAGTGAATCAACAGATGGAAAATCTTCCTCTCTGTCTCTTCTCCTTTCTGTATATCTAACATTCCAATAAAAATAAATAAATAAAACATACATTTTTAAAAGATAGAAAAAAAGATTTTTTTTATTGGAAAGTCAGATACACAGAGGAGGAGAGACAGAGAGGAAGATCTTCCGTCCGACGATTCACTCTAAGTGACTTCAATGACTGGAGCAGAGCCAATCCGAAGCCAGGAGCCTCCTCCAGGTCTCCCACGTGGGTGCAGGGTCCCAAGGCTTTGGGCAGTCTTTGACTGCTTTCCCAGTCCACAAGCAGGGAGCTGGATGGGAAGCAGGGCTGTTGGGATTAGATTCAGCACCCCTATGGGATCTCAGCATTTACAAGGCGAGGACTTTAGCCACTAAACTACCCGTGTCAGGCCCATAAATAAAATTTTTAAAAAAATAAGAGCCCTCAGCTTGTCTGCAGCATAGGCATAAAGTAGACTTCTCTGCTGTCTCGTTATCTTCCCTTACAAAGCTGTACACACAGGGAAAGACACTACCTGTGAATGTTCCATTTCCCATACAGTAGTGGCTAGGTGTAACTCCTCTTTACTTCCCATTCTGGCTTTCTGCTAAAGTGAACTCTGAGAGACACCAGGTTATGGCTCAAATGATCAGGCCTGCTACCACATGAAAAAGCCAGACTAGGCTACAGACTACTAGCTTGGAAGCTGCAAGTGGTTGGGGAGTGAATTGGCAGATGGAAAACCTTTTCCTCTGCCTTTCAAAGCTCTTGTTGCTCAGGTGCACTTCTATTTGTGTTACAGTATCTTTTGCATGTCCTGAGATAATTTCCAACCACTAATTATCTGTCAAAGCTGTTAAAGTTACCTTCCAGGGTGTCGATTATTTTATTAGGGTTCTTATTACAAATTTAAATAGATTTTCAGTGATGTGTCCTAAACTCATATTAAATAGACCACAGGCTCTATTGCTTTCAACGTTTAGTTGTGCAGAATGCCAAATTTTTCAGGATTTATACACACCACTTGATGGCAGAAAACATCTACCATACCTAAGATATTTATAATTCTCACAACTATAGTTATGGAAAGAGCTATAGAGCAAAGCAACTAGTAACAGGCAGGCCTTACCTGGTCTCTGGCTCACTGGTGGACTCCCATTAATTCCCGAGAGTAAAATAGGAACAGAGCCCAGAGATGAAGTTGGTGTGGTCACCATGGAGGAAGATGCAGCTGTGGTCACCATGACTATGGAGGTGGAGGCAGTGGAAGCAACAGGAAGAGTTATGGTTGGAGGAGATGCAACCAAAGAGTTAGGAAAAGCAACTGAAGCCACAGGGGTAGTTATCCCAGTAGTTTTGGTAAGGTTCACAGTGGCTGTAGACAGGGTAGATGTTACAGGGGTGTTGGTATTAGTTTCAGAGACCTCAACAACCCCTGGAGTGGTGGCACCAGAAGAGTAAGTTGTTTCTTTAGTTCCCACGTCAGAAACAGCAGTCATAGGTGTCACAGCAGTAACGTTTTCTAAAAACACTTGAGGGGTAGTAGTGACAGCAGCAGTCACGGGGCTGCACACCTGAGCTGCCTCAGAAGAAACCACAGGTGTGACGACCATTACTGGAGAAGGTCTGATACTGAACTTCTGTGGGCCTGTCAGGGGTTGGGGTGTGCTAACTCCAGGTATCTTCTGCTGCAAGGCTCCAACTTTACTCATCACAAACTGTGTGAACACACCACCAGGAGAGGGTCGAGCCGCTGCAAATAAAAATCTGCAGGTCAAAAATCTTCAGTTCTTATTTTATCTTCATAGTGACGTGCTTTCAATATTTACTGGGCACCAGTGAGTCAATTTCCTATAGGTACTACCTACCTGCATTACATATGCCAATGTCCATCCACAGAAATCAAACACTTCCCTCAAAAAATCAAGCCTTTATAACTTTAACAAGAACAAAGTTGAGTGTTCCTACAAAAGTTCTTTTTGGCTGTGCAACATATTCAAAATGTCAAGCCACTTAGGAGATAATGCAGTTTTAAACAATTTCAACTAAATGGATAATAAGGCCAGACAAGGGTGGGTGTCACAGTATAGCACTAATTAAACTGCCCCTTGCGAAGTACACATCCATTATCTGAGTACTGATTTGAGTCCCAGCTACTTCATTTCTGATCCCGAACCCTGCTAATGCACTTGGGAAGCAATGAGCAGTTGTTCAAATATTTGAGTTCCTGCCACCACATGGGAGGCCAACATGGAGTTCCTTTTCCTGGCTCTGGCCCTGCCCAGGAGTGGCTGTTGCAGGCATTTGGGGAATTAACTATTGGATGGACTACCTCTCTTTCTCTCTGCCTTACAAATAAGTAATATTTCTTAAAAATAGAATTCTTCCCTCAACACTAATTTTAAAACTGGATTCCATCATTTCCCCATCCAAGCACCTATACCTCCTTATGGCTGTCCTCTTATGAAGCAATCAAGTATCACGTATTTGTAAAATACATCAAAACACTATTCAAAAAAAGAGCAGAACGAGATTGTTTTTGGAAAATCATATGAAAGCTGCTTTTTAAAAGCGGTAAAATAGGTTCTTTTTAATGCATATAATGCCCATCCTCTATCTTCACACAATTCCAGCCTTTAGCTAGAGATTTTAGATTCCTGTTAGAGAAATAAGAATAACAATTGACACGTTCACTTAACATTCCTAAGTAGACTGGAAACAACAAAAAGAAGAATTCATTAAACAACTTGTAGATACACTGAAAGCTAAAACAGAAATGCTTCAAAGGTAAATACTAACATTGAAATGTTAGGCAACAGAAAGAGTTTGTCATTCATAGAACAGCGATGAATAGAATAATGCAATGTTTTCAAAATCGTGTTTTACAAGAGCCTTCTATTTTAAGCCTATATATTAATACACCCTGCCAGCTTTTGCTGGATTCTTAGTTTCCTAAACTCAACGCACACACATAATGACTGTTATCAAAAACATCAGTCTTTGTGGAAAAAATAATTAACACTTTAAAATGTTCTTCCTTCTCAAAAAACAAAATTAAACTCTGTTTTTTTTTCTGTACTAATACCACAAGTTTAAAAGCCTCAAAAAGCTAAAGTTCAACTTATTGTTTAACACATTACAAGAGGACTCTTCCTTGCAAAAACTAAAACATTTAAATGACAGACTTAACAGAATAATGCCAAATTCTGGGATTCTCTCATTTTTATAAACTCTGTATCTAAATTAACTCACTTAGCACTGTATCTAAATTAACTGACAAGTCACAGGCTCTCTCAAAATTTTTATGTAAACTCCAACTTACCAATTGGCCTTTTTGCTGGGACAAATGCCTTTGGATTCTTCGCAGGGCGATTTGTTGTGGTGCTGGTAGAAGATGTCATTTTGGAATTGGATGTGGAAGGCAGCAGGGTGCGTGGTTTCCTGGATGCAGCCACCTTGGCATTGGATGCTACCTTGGAGATGACAGTACTGAGGGTTGAGAGGTCCAGGACTGAGGGTCGCAACCTGCCTGTGATATAAGCAGCTAGCCTATTGGCTGGATGCAATGCCCCCATCTGTCCCAATAGCAACTTAGCCTGCGGGTAACTCTTACCATTAACCTGAAACAAGTGGCAAAGAGAAATTTTGTAAAGATAAAATTCTCTTGCTAACTCCTCTCCCTTGTCAGGGGTTTTATTTTTACAAGGTTTTAAAAGTCTATTTATTCAAATTTAGGAGGGGGAAAAAGTGATGGACTTTATTCAAGGTAAAATAAGTAATCAGAACACGAAAAAAAATGCTCTGATTTTATGTTCTCAACTAACCTCATACCCCTCATTTTGTAGTCTGGAAGCAATCTTAGAAATTCATCATTCATGTATTTATATATAAAATACATAGTCAAGTCTAAACAATCATACAATTGTCATTAAGCAATTCTGGTTAACTTATTAACAACCATTAGCAAGACCAGAGGGGCAGCACAATGAAACTGGGGTCTTTTTAGCATCCTTCATGTTTGAAAAACACATGGTGAATCTACTGTACATTGTTAAAGTCACAAATTCATTAGTTTTCAGTTTTCAATAAACTCAACTTCAATACTATTATCTCCTTATCTTGAATACAGGCATAATTTTGCTAGTAAAAAACTCACTACAATTTCAGTCACTCAAATGTCAGAAAAAGTGAGCCAACAAATGAAGTAAATATCTATGCTGTCTCGGTTGATTAGACTGCCCTTCTGGGACACTAGCTCCTTTCTGGTTTGGTTTTGATAAAACAAAACCCTACCATGTTTCTACCCATGTTCTTTCTCTAGGTCATATGCTGGGTGACTCAAACAGATAATCTTGTTCAAGAATTAAAGCTGTATTCTATTCTCTAAGTTAACAACAAATTGGTGAGGAGAATAGCTATAGCAAGACACTCCACTTTAAAGACACAAAACAAAATTACTCTTTGCTACTTAAGTAAAATGATGATTATTCCCAGAGATCTCTAAAAATAAACTTACTATATATTTTTGGTTATATAAAGTTACATAAAAAGTCACGCAGAGCTACCCACACCTGTTCTTTTGGGAGAGGCTTCAACGACTACTCAGTAGCTTCTCCTAAGAATATGGCAGGGTGAATATCTCTGATCTGAAATCCTTGAGCTCAGAATCTCTGCATTTAAATGACAAAATATGGGGGATAGAATCCAAGCCTTAACACAAAAATTATTACATATTAAGTATACCTTATAAAGAATCTACAGGTAATTTTATATAATATCTTTAGAACACACCTAGGTATACTTAAATAGGGCCAGGTACAGAATTTTTCAGTTGTCATGTCAGTGCTCATATGAGTTTCAAATTGTAAAGCATTTCAGTTTTTTGATTAGACACACCCAGCAATCTCAGTAAACAATTTTAGTTAATAGAACTGACGTCCCATGTAGGTGTCAGTTTGATTCCTGGCTGCTCCAATTCTGACTCAGCTTCCTGGTAAATGTGTCTCTGACAGCAGAAGATGGCCCAAACACTCGGGCCCCTGCATCCATGTTGGAGACCCAAACGACAAAATCAGGCTACTGGCTCCTAACTTCAGCCTGGCACAGCCCTTGACCATTATGGCCATTTAGGGAATGAAATCAGTTCATGAAAGATATCTGTCTCTCCCATTCTGAGACTTAACTTTTCAGATAAATGAGTAAATCTTTCAAAAATATAAGAAATACCAATAGAAGCAATTACAAAGCACTAACAAGAAAAAACTGCAATGAAGTCTTTTAACTAAGAGTATCTGTCATATCATTAATGCAAAAGTCCTTAACCCAGGAACGTAGTCAGTCTAGTAAAAATCAAGTAACCTGGCAGTAATGTTGCACATCTCTACACATTTGCTGCTCTGACACTGACTCAAAAGTGTATTTAATGTCACTTAGCAAGGAGATCATATCTCCTTGACTATAAAGTACACTTGAGAATTTCTCTTTCCAAAGCACTTTTTGTATGTCAGTATAACTTTAACCAATAAAACTTGTATTGTCCAACAATGATCATTACATTGACAAAAATTCTAAAGAATTAAAAAATAAAGCTTCAATTTAAAAATGTTACATATTTGAATAACATCTTACTAAATTAAACTTTTTAAAGATTCTAAACACAGACAAGGAGTTTTCAATAAGTTTGCAGAAAATGCACATTATTATACTTTTCACCTCAAAGCCAATTTCAACTTCTTACTATCCCTAACATTTCCAACACAGTTTTGCTTTGAAAATTGCTTGCTAATATTAAATTCCCAGAGGTACAGTGATTTCCTGACTACGTCTCCTTGTATGTCAAAGTTATCACTCCATCTAGACAACATAGTTCAAAAGAAGCAACTTTATGGAAAGACCAGGAACCAAGTTATAAGCTAATACAAACCTCTACATTTTTAATCATGTGTTTCAAAAATACACTCTAGGTTTGCATCTATTTAACTGAGGCCTATTACAAAAATGGGTAATACTTTATCCCAGATCCTAGGAAATGTAAAGACAATGACATTAAGGGTTGCCTTAAGGGCTCTGAAAATTCAGGATGTCTCCTAAGTATAAAAGGTGCTGTACCCAGATTAAAGGTAATTCTCACCTGGATAAGCCCAGATGTGCTTGAACTGGGTTTACGTTTATAAGCCACAAGCTTCCCCGCAGGCGAAAGCCCTGCATAAAAAGGCAGGCCTTTGCCTCCATGTAATCTCTCCCTCACTGAATCCAGAGCATCTGTCTGCACAGAAGAGAGATCATCCATTTTCCCAGGGGACAATGGACCATCAGGAGTCTCTGATCCAGATTTGTCAGCCATATCATCTTGGTCTTGACATGATGGCATAGAGATTTTCACACGGGAAGAATAAACAGGAGGGTTCTTCTCACCCCGGCTCTTTCGCTGAGAAGCCAACTCAATGATGAAGCTGCCCACCTTAAGTGACTGTGGCATGTTGCTATTGATGTGTTGGGACAAGATGCTCAAAATCTTGTTCCGATCCTCTTCCCAGTTGCAATCTGAGATGATTTCTATCAATTTGGTGGGCCCACCAGGTGAACTCTGATGCACATAAGAGGTAGAACAGGATTCCCCTTCATTGGAGGAAGACTTCCAGCTCTTTTCTGATTAAAAAGGAGAAGAAGAAAAAGAACACTTCTGCATCACAGCATTCTACACTGAATTTTGAAAGAAATGCCAGTGTTTCTCACTCCCACTCCTATGTGTCTCCTAGTGTTAACTTAATATCTAGGTTGTGAATGTAAAATTTACAGTTCAAGAATTTTCCAGAAAGAATAAAGATTCCAATGAGTCTGACTACAGGAAAGTTTTCACTGTCCTGACGACCAAGCTCTATTCTGAAAAACCTGGAACTATTAGGTAAGAAAGTGTTCCCTTGTAAAGCATTACCTACAATCAAAGTGAAGCTTATCTGACATATCTATGTAAGCAAGATGTAGATGCTTTCGAACTTGTGAAAGTTAGTGCTAAAGAATAGTAAAGAAGACAATATTCTGGTTTTAACAACAACAAAGTGCATTCTACCTGTCTCTAGTTTCTACTGCAATAGTTTTGAATTATTTCTGAGCTTTCATGTGATTCCTCTGTGCAGACTGAGCAACTTCCCAGTGTATTGTAATGTATTTCTATCTATGGTAACATGTTGATTAAATGTATAATTCACTAGACACCCAGGATTCAATGGCATAAGTCAACAGTCAATGTGTTATAATTACATGTATGTCAAGGATGCAGGTCCTGGTGAGGTAGGGTACTCATGCTCTCAGGCAAGTTCTCTATGCAAGCAGCCTCCCTTACTCACCTCAATACACTATAAAATTATCATTTTTATGAGTATCACAACATTTAAAAAAGCAATGTTTCGTGTCAAATGTTTAAGAACCAACAACAGTAAGTAACTCACTAGTTGCTAACTCTCAACACAGTAATACAGTGGTAGCCACTACTAGAAAACCTGGTAGTAGTTCCTCCTTCCTCCCTTTGCATTTCCCCCATGATAATAACTATAAAGGATCTTACAGGTAGGGCTTATATTGTGGGGCAGTGGGTAATGCTACCACCTACAACACTAGCATCACACATGGGTGTCAGTTCAAGTCCTGGTAGCTCCACTTCCAATCCAGTGCTCTGCTAATATACCTGGGAAGAACATCAGAAGATGGTCCAAGTGTTTGGGTCCCTGCTATCCATTTGGGAGTTCTGGAAGAAGTTTCCGGTAATATGCCTGGTCCAACCCTGGCTATTGCATTTTCTTGAAGAGAGAATGAGTGGATGAAAGATCCCTCTCTTTTTCTCACCTCCTCTCTATCACTCTGCCTTTCAAACAAATAAATAAAAATCCTTAAAAATATTGCTGAGCTTTTAAAAAGTTAATGAAAATATCACTAAATGTCTCCAGTAACAATATGCAATAGGATAAAATAAGAATAGGAGTGTTAAATACATCAAGTGGGTATAGAATAACTTTTTGTCTCTCTTTTTAGCAGAAGTTAGAAACAGGACAGGCAGACATGTCTTCATTGCTGGTTTGGGTACTCCTCCATAATTACTGTAATCCAGACCTCTATAATTACTATCAAATTACAAGAAGGAATTCTCATTCTAACCTTGTGATTTATCAGAATCCTCTTCCATGTCACAAGAAAGTTGTTTTAAGTTCTGCTGTTCATAATCAGGTTCCTAAAGAAGGGAACAACACACAAATACTTCAACTTGACATAAAATACTGTCTACAGAGACCAGGACATTAAACATTAGGTTTGTCACAGAAGTGATATCAACACAAGGATTTAAAATACCAGTAACTTCATATCTGTACACTCAGGTATGCTATTCCAATACACAACTCTAGGCAAAAACACTCCATGATAATGACTGAATCATAAAAAAAAAAATACACACATATACAAATACAAAGAGAAAGAACCTTATTCTATTAAAAAAAGGAAAAATATATAATATCTATAAGATAAATTTCAGCTAATTAAATAACTAACATAGAAAGATGCAAATTTCAGTAACTGCAGATAACAACTTAATCAAAACAGGGGTGTTTACATTATTTAAGAAATTGCTCCAGAGTCATACAGAGTAAAATTTTCAATCATCATAATGTAAAGCTCATCTGAACAGGTACTAACAGAATTAAATGGATATTTTTGTACTAATTTTATGTTATTTAATCCATCTCTATCGTACAAGTAGAGGATACTGTTCTAATATAATAATATACAACTGCTAACATCAGCAACAGAAAACTGCAAGTTAAAAAGAAATTACACAACAAACAGTTCACCTTTGCATTGTGGTTTTCAGGACTAGCATGACTCGAACTCTGCTGAGGAAACGATGGAGTTGGGGATGGGGACAGAGATGGCTGTCTCTGCTCTTTTTTGCGCTCATAAACTCGAACTCGGGCACAAGTCATCATACTTTCGAAGTACAAGTAGACTGGATCTTTGTCCTCTTCCCGAATCTGTAAATTTCATACAATATAACATTCCATACAATGGGAATAAAAAGTCTTCTAAACAGGAAAGAAAATCTTGCTTAGTTTTTGTTGATAATTTTGCTGATAATTCCTATGTATGGTCCACAAGTAAATTAATCTTGGAGCAGCTAGAAAGCATCTGATTCTCTGACAGGAAATTTCAGATCATATCAGAGCAATGCTTCTTAAATCCATCTGGTAACAGAATTACCAGTCCATCACAGATTGATACTCTGATAAAATACACTAAGTAACTAGAAAAACAAAATACATAACAGTGAAGCTCAAGATTACGCTAATCACTTTGCTGCAGAAATTTTTTTTCTCATTTTCTACATTTTCAATACAGATCAAAAACAAAAAATTCTAAATCAGCATGTTACAGACTACTGTGCTGCATTATCATAAAATATTCTTCAAGTTAATGGAATAGCAAGTAAAAGCGCAATGAATTCAATCACCAGAATTGCTTTACTTTCACTTATCGGTTTTCAAAGTCTTACAGTAAGTTATTTCAAACTTTGAACTTTAATGCTACTACTTTATATTAAAAGTTTTAAAAAATATTTTAATAATGCTTCACTGTTAATCACTTGAGCATTTTAATTACTCAATATGTTAACACCATGAAAATAACAGTATCCTTAATAAATTTTTTACATGTAAAAACACCTTTCTATCATTCTGAAAGTGATTCGGTTATTTTAAGAATCAATACTATTCACCTCTTCTTTAATAACATTTTTAAACTTCCTTCAAATACACTGATTAAACCAGAAAGAAAGCTAATTTCTTAAAGACATATTGTTGAAGGCAGAATGATCTAACAGAATAACAACCAAAAATGTGCCTGAAGCTCATCATCTTTACAATAAATTTTTTCAACTTGCATTTAAAGATGAAACGCCAGGCTTACCACAGGATTGGGTTTGGGAGTATATGTCCGTGCAGGTTTAATTCCAGTGAGCAGCTTGCCCTTCACAGGAGGTAAAACTTCCGGCTGAGGCAACAACAATGGTTTCACAGGTTCGATAACAGAAGGCGTGGGAATATAGACCGGCTCTGGATCTACTTCACCTTCTACTTTCACCCACAATGGGTAATGTCGAACAGGCTGTTCAGGCTCTGTTTCACATATAGCTTCACAAAAAGGAGGATAGATTTTTAGGTGCTTCCAGTAACTCAGAGTTAGCACTGGTACGCTGCCATTCACAACAGGTAAGAACTCATTAAAACAGCAATGTACAGTGGGTTAAGCCATTGTTTGCAAAGCTAGCATCCCATAACAGAGCAGTGGTTTAAATCCCAGCTGCTTTGCTTCTGATTCAACTCCTTGCCTGAAAAAGCAATGCAAGAGGGTCTGAAAGTTTGGGCCCCTGCAACCCATGTGGAAGACTAAAATGGACCTGGAGCATGCTGGGCTATTTCAGGCAAATGAGGAATGAATTCCCAGTGGAAAGAATGCATCCCCTTCTTCTCCATTGCTCTGCCTTTTAAATAATACTTTGTTTTGGAACAAGACAAAACAAGGCTGAAAGTAAAACAGGTGGTGCACATAAGAGGAATTACACACAAGTCTGTATTGCACATTAAACTACATTTTTTCAAATGGGAAGCTGCGATGTTCTACAGTGAAAATAGCATGTAGAGACTCTAAAACACAAGAAAAACTACATTGTTCAAATTCACCACTTTACAAATACACATACGCTGTCTTTGTGCTAACAGCTTTAGGAGGAAGCAGATGATGATCCATGTTATTTGGGTCCCTGTTACCCACATGGTGGACTCAGGTGGCATTTCTGATTCCTGGTTTCAGAATGTGGGAAGGAACCAATGATCGGAAAACACTCTCTTCCTCCCCCTCTTTAGTCTTCTTCCATTCTTTGCCATTTTGTCTTTCAAATAAATAAATCAGTCTTTAAAATACAGTCACAAAAACTCCTCAGTTCATGGTAAGCAACAGGACATATAAACAGACATGCCCCCAAAAAAGGAATTATCTTATAAACAAAAAGATATTCTACATAATGAAATCATAATCAGCCTCTCTGAATGAGATATAAAGATAAAACACAAAGCAAAAGGATGAAGTAATATATAACATGGGTCTATATCTATGTCATATTTTATCCAAAAAGAAAATAAGCTTTTCAGAACAGAAAAATGTACGTGGGCCCTTGCACCCCCCCTGTGGGAGACCTGGAGGAAGGTCTGGTCCTTCATTTAGACTGGCCAACCTCCAGTCATTGTGTCCATTTGGGATGTCAACTGTCAACCAGCTGATGAAAGATCTCTCTCTGGATGTCTCTCCCTTTCTCTGATTTTTCCTTTCAAATAAATACATGAATCTTTAAAAAAAAAAAAATGCCACAGGGGTCTAGTGGTTAATGTCCTCGTCTTGCACATGCTAGGACCCCACATGGGCACCAGTCCTAACCCTGGCTGCTCCATCACCCATCCAGCTCCCTGTCTATAGCCTGGGAAAGCAGCAGAGAATGGCCCAAAGCCTTGGGACCCTGCACCCGCATGAGAGACTTGGAAGAAGTTCCTGGCTCCTGGCTTCAGATCAGTTCAGCTCTGGTCATTGCAGCCACTTGAGGAGTAAATCAGTGGATGGAAAAACTTGCTCTCTGTCTTTCTCTCTGTAAATCTGACTTTCCAGTAAAAATAGTAAGCAAATCTTAAAAAAAAAGATGCTCAGCTCTGGTTTTCCCCTATTTTGTCCCCAAATCTCAAACTACTTGGTGAATGGCTTCAACCACAAGCAAAGATTTTTACTAAAAACTTCTTTCACATTTTAATTTACTTTTATTTTGACAGACAGAACAAGAGATCATCCATCCATATATCTACAACCAAGGCTAAGCCACAAGAAAGACTATACTTGTTTTAATTCTCAATACTCACTGTATTCAAGCTTCTTCCTTTTCTTTTTCTCTTTTAATGGCTCTTCCTCTTCCCTCAATCCTTCTTCTTCTTCCTTTATGTCCTCTCCTACAGTATCATAAAATACTGGATCTCGGTGAGTAGCTTTCCTTTGGAAAGATTTAGTTTTGGATCCCCCTTTAACAAGCACAACTTTTCTTTTCAAACAAGTACAGCCAAACATACAGTCTGGTCGACGGCAATGAGCAGGCTGGCGCTTCTCCAGAGCTAGACTGGAACACACACAACCCAGTCGACAGAAGTCATTGTTGCACGGGGGAGCTCGTTTCTTTATGATTGTGTGGATGGGCTTAGTTTTGAGAGACGCCTAAAGTTAAAGCATAACGTTACAATTCCACTAACCATCGCCCTCCACCACTACAAGCTTACAACATATTAGTCCACCTTCTTTTCTGACTTTGAGTACTATTCCACAAATTAATACAGATTCATAGACCATGAATGTAACCAGGGCTCTGGACAACTCCATTTCAGTGCTCAACACAAACAAAAGAACAAAAATTCTCACTAATTATAAACAAAAAGATAAAAAATAGATGCATTATCAATAAAAATTATATCTAATGCTATGTGACAGGAACATGGGTGAGACCTAGTCTGTTTCACAAAATATCACTGGTATACAGCCTGGATCATTCATTTACAAAGTAGCCATCCCATATGAGCACTTTTTGTGTCCCAGCTGCTCTACTACCCATTCAGCTCCCTGTTAATGCAACTGAGAGAGCAGCAAAAGATGGATCAAGTCATCCTTGTGGGAGATGTGGATGGAATTTCAGGCTACTAATTTCAGCCTGGCCAGCAATGGCCATTGTGGTCATTTAGGGAGTAAATCAGCAGACAAAAACTCTATCTCCCCCTCTCTCTAATTCCACCATTAAAACAAATAAATCTTTAAATAATAATATTATTATCTATAATCCACATGTAGTCCATTTGATGACCTTTGGCTCTAGAATACAGTCCCAGATTTAAAAATGAAAGGCGCAGAAATTCATTACCAACATGCATTTCCATCACTTCACATACAAAGGCTGCGAAGACAGGCGCAGCACTAACTAATCAAAAAAAAAAAAAAGTAACTGTAAAATCTTGGATCCTCTTAGATTTTGTATCTTTTAAGCAGAATTTTCAAAGCTGTTTAGCAAGATCAGCAAATGCACTTATATACATGTTGGGATTTTTACACTGGCTAGCTGCCTTTACACAGGAAAGTTGTATCTCCCTTGGCTAACAGGAGGAATCCACATTTGTGTGTCTGTCTAGGTATAAAGAACAACAAATGGGAAGACAGCTCTTCAGCTGTGTGCTAATTAACTGCTTAGAATCTCCCTGTCAACCCATTCTCCTTCACCTGCATCAACCTTATTTTAGCTAAGTACTCATAAATATGCTTACAAAAACACAGCAGATACTTACTTGAGCAGTAAGCAGAGTTGTTAGAGACACATCTGCTCGCTCTTCAGTGATATAAGTCCTTGGTTTTCCTTCCCATAGTGCACAGTCTTCCAGGTCCATTAGCTTCACCTGAGATTTAGACAAGCCTGTAGGACGAGTTCCCTGTGGCTGTTGCTGTTGTTGTGCATGCCGCAAACTAATTTGCTTTGGAAATATATTTTCATCTAAAGTTGGCACAACAAAGTTATTCACCTGATTTTCTGAAACAGTGCTTGAAGAATTCTTGGCAATCTTATCTCCTGGAATCACATGAGAGTGTTTCTGCCTTGGTGAAACAGGGTATGGTAAAATGGATTTGTAAGACGACTTCGTTCGGCCACCGAATCCTGACTGTTTGTTTTGAGATTTTGCCTTTCGAGAGGCAGGGGGAGCAGAATGAGGTTTCAAAGAGTAAGAGGTAGAAGGGGAAATGGTAGATTGTTTCTTTAGCACACTGTCAAGTGTTCGCACATAAGAAGTACTCTTGGTGGGAAGCTGGTATACTACAGGAGATGTGGGAGCATTGGAAGAGAAACCCATGCTTGTTTCCATCAGTTTGCCTTCATTTTCTAAGTATTCATCTAGCTTATCACTGCAGAAAGCAGAACGGTTCTTCAGTGAACCTTCTGAACTCCCACCTAGAAAAGAGACACAAGATACTAACAATACAGGATACATGTTTATAAGTCTTTGGAAAAGTACACCAAAAAAAGACAGGAGGATTAAAGTATAAGCTATTGAACCTTTCAAAAAGCCCTTCACCAAAACAGAAGGGAAAACATAAAATCAAGTAAAATGACTTGAATCTCATAAATAAAATTTAGCCTCTAAAATTAGTCTATAATTATGAATTATTGAATTTGACTTTTGTAAGAAGCTAACATTAACATAAGACATCAACCTTTGACAGTTTTTAACTACAGAAACCACAAATAAGTAAAACTATAATTGTAAAAAGCAGAATTAAATCAAAATACCTCAACAGAACATGGAAGGATTATTTAAGAGTCTAACTGATCTAGAATTCAAATAAAATGTTAGGAACAAGATAAAGCCAAAAAGGCAGACACACAGATACAGAGTTCTCATCTGTTGGTTCATTCCCCAAATGCCCATAACAGCAATGGGCCAAAGCTGGGAACCGGGAAAAAAATCCAGTTAGAATCAGGAGCTGGATCCAGAAACATATTCCAAATGCTCCACTATATTACTTAACAGGGTTCTAAACTGCTAAGCTAAGCACCTGCTGTAAACATCTAGGATCTTTCTGTTTGTTTTTCCTGCTTATTTCAGAGGCGGATAAAGAGAGCTCCCATTTATTGCCTCACTCTCAAAATCTGCAAAAACCAAGGGGTCACGCTGAACTTCATGCTAGGCATGTGTTTGCAAGGAATGAATCTCAACTGAACTTGAACTATGGTTATGCAACAAGGTGGAGGAATCCACCATGGGGGGAGGGGTATGGGAGGGGTGGGGGGAATCCCCAGCGCCTATAAAACTGTACCACATAATACAATGTAAACAACAATAAAAAAAAAAAAAAAAAAAACCAAGGGGTCAAAGCTGGGAATTCAGTTCCACTCTCCCACACAACTGGCAGAATTCCAGTGACCTGAGCCATTACCACTGCCTCCCAGGGTGTGTGGCAGCAGCCAGTTAAAAATTCAGAAGCCAAACCCAGGCATGTAGTCCATGTACTCTGATACAGTATAGCAATTCTTCATACTTAGCCAAACTCCTATTTCCATTTACTTGGTTTTAATTAATCTTTTAAAAAAAAAAGATTTAATTATTTTATTGGAGAGTCAGAGAGGAAGAGAGACAGAAAGGAAGATCTTCCATCCAATGATTCACTCCCCAAGCAGCCGCAACAGCCGGAGCTTAGCCAATCCGAAGCCAGGAGCCAGGAGCCTCTTCTAGGTGTCCCACATGAGTGCAGGGTCCAAAGGCTTTGGGCTGTCCTTGACTGCCTTCCCAGGCCACAGACAGAGAGCTGGATGGGCAGTGGGGCCACCGGGATTAGAACCAGCACCCATATGGGATCCTGGCACTTTCAAGGAGAGGACTTTAGCCGCTAGGCCACCATGCCAAGCCCATTTCCATTTACTTGAAAGCTACTACCAAATATTGGTAGAGATGAGCATCACACTGTTATAACACTGTACAAAGATTCAATGTTAATGAAAAAAAAGAGCCTCATTAAATAAGCAATGAGAAGGAAGAGTAAGCAATAAGAGTCCAAAAGCATACACAGTCAAAATACCTGAAATTAGAAAATAGGAAACAAGTAAAACTCAGCAAGGCAATGATTTCTAGTTCATTTTAAACCATGGAGAAAACTTACTCTTAACCAAAATGTAGTGAAATTTTTCAGAAGATAGCTACAATTTTAGAAAATAAGTTACCTTCACTCCTAGATGCCGAAGCACTATGAAGCTTTCCTCGCCATCCTTTGATCTTGGTAAAGTCATTGGTCTTCCCTGTCCTAGAAACAAAGGGAAACCCAGTATCTACAAAGAAAAAATAAAATCAATGACCAAAATTCTACCAAGCAAATGTAAAAATCACTTATGAGTACTACATCAGTAGACAGAACATTTACCTTAAAATATTCTAAATTTATTCAACAAAGGTAGTTTTTTTATTTATACAAAAATTAACCCAAGCTTTAAATAAGATAAACAATGGTTGACTTTAAAAATGCTATCCACTCACCAGGAGAGGCAGGGTTGGTTCCTGTATGATTCCAAAATGGAAAGCTAGTAGCTGGAGCCAAAGGCAGCTGTACTCCCAAGTATTTAAGATCAATGCTCATTGTTGGATCCACTGAATTCAATTTTAAGCCCACTATAAGAAAAAAGGAACACAAATCAAATGATCTCTCTTTTCATGTTATTAATCTCTGGCAGGGTATTCAGAAAAAGTAAGCAGAGTGAGCATTTAGACAGAGCAGCTTAGTTGCCACTTGGGAAATTATCACCCCATACCTTACCTATCACTACTAACCCACTTCTAACCTAGCTTCACTTCTAACCCAGTTTCCTGCTTACGCACAGCACATCCTGGGAGACAACAAGCAAGGGCTTAAATTCTTTTGTCCCTGTCACCAATAGAGCCTTTGGCTCTTGGCTTTGCCTGACCAATGCTGTGGACATCTGAAGAATAAATAAGCCTGGTAAAGTTTTCTCTCTGCTGTTCAAACTTTAAACAAGCAAGCAAAGCAAGCAGCTTGGGGGTGGCATCATGGTGTAGTGGCACCAGCAAAGTATTACGGCACAGGCTGAAGACTTAGCAGCTCCACTTCTGATCCAGCTCCCTACTGATGGCCTGGGATAGCAGTGGAAGGCAGTCTAACTCCTTGGGTCCCTGCAATCACAGGGGAAACCCAGAAGAAGCTCCTGGCTTCAGCCTTTTCTCTCTCCACTGTTAACACTTTCTTTCAACTGAAAAAAATAAATTAATCATTAAAAACAAAACAAAACAGAAAAACCCGGGGCAGCCCCAAACCACTAACAAAAACATTTCAGGTTTAATCAATCTTTTATTTAAAAAGATTTATTTATTTTTATTGCAAAGTCAGACATATACAGAGGAGGAGAGACAGAGAGGAAGATCTTCCATCCGATGATTCACTCCCCAAGTGACCGCAACAGCCAGTGCTAAGCTGATCCGAAGCCAGGAGCCAGGAACTTCCTCCAGGTCTCCCATGTGGCTGCAGGGTCCCAAGGATTTGGGCTGTCCTTGACTGCTCTCCCAGGCCACAAGCAGGAAGAAGAATGGGAAGTGGAGCTGCCTGGATTAGAACCGATGCCCATATGCGATCCTGGTGCATTCAAGGCGAGGACTTCAGCAGCTAGGCCATCGCGTCAGGCCCTAATCAATCTTTTTTAAAAGATTTATTTACTCTTATTGGAAAGTCAGATATACAGAGAGGAGGAGAAAGAAAGGAAAATCTTCCATCTGATGGTTCACTCCCCAAGTGGCCGCAATGGCTGGAGCTGAGCCAATCCAAAGCCAGGAGCACGGAACCTCCTCCAGGTCACCCACGTGGGTGGCAAGGTCTCAAGGGTCATCGCAACTGCTTTCCCAGGCCACACAGGCAGGGAGCTGGATGGGAAGCGGAGCAGTCAGTGCATAAACCAGCGCCAATACAGGATCCCAGCATGCGCAAGGCAAGAACTTTAGCCACTAGGCTACTGTGCTGAGTCCAATCTTTAAAAAAATGAAAAATAAATATACCTTAACAATTTTAGTATTAATTACATTAAGAAAACCGGCTACACAGCTCCCTGACTGTGACTACAATCTTAATAACTACATGCCTGTGAACTGTAAGAGAATTATTAATTTGACAGAAATCTCCTTTTTAAAAAAGATTTATTTATTTTTACTGGAGAGGCAGATTAACAATGAGAAAGATCCTCCATCCACTGGATCATTCCCCAAATGGCTATAATGGATGGAGCTGAGCTTATCTGAAACCGGGAGCTAGGAGCTTCCTGTGGGTCTGCCACATGTGTGCAGGATTCCAAGATTTTGGGCCGTCCTCTACCACTTTCCTGCACCACCAACAATGAGCTGGACAAGAAATAGTGTGACCAGGACGTGAACCAGAACCTTTATGGGACACCAGTGCTGCAGGCAGATTAGCCTACTGAGCCATGATACTGGCCCCTGGATTGACTACAATCTTAATAAGTGATGGCTCACAAACAGCTTTGGGTTTATTTTAATAAACTTCTTACGCATCCACTACTTCACTCACTAAATATTCACAAAAGCTGGAACTAGGCCAGGCTAAAGCCAGGAGCCAAAAACGTAACGCAAGCCACCTACCAGTAATTACAGTGGAACTCAATCACCGAGCCCACACTCAGGGTCTGCACTAGCTGAAAGCTGGAGTCATGTGTCTAAGAGGTGGACATCCTATCAAGGCAATCTGACACCACACACGGACATCTTAAACACTGAGTTAACCTGTGCTCTTGACTTTGTTTCAAAGCTGTTCGTAGCCCACAAACCTAGTATTTACTGCTATCACTTGACAACGGAAATATCACATAACTAACTCCAGCTTCAAAGGAAAATGGGAAGACCTAAAAACATCAGACCTATTTCCTTATTTGACAACAACTCACTGTCTTTTTAGAAGAGGTGTCTCTCTGGGCCCAGTATAATGGCTCAAATGGCTAATTCTCCCTTTGTAAGCACTGGGATCCCACATGGACACTAGTTAGTGTACTGGCAGCTCCACTTCCCTTCTAGCTCCCTGTTAGTGGCCTGGGAAAGCTGTGAGGACAGCCCAAATACTTGGGATACTGTGCCAACATAGGAGACTCAGAAAAAGCTCCTGGGTCCTGGCTTCAGATTAGCTCAGCTCAAGCTGTTGCAGCCACTTGGGGAGTGAACCAGTAGAGGGAAGATCTTTCTTTTGGTATCCCCTTCTCTCTGTAAATCTGACTTTCAAATACAAATAAATAAATCTTTTTTAAAAGTTCACATTAACCAGTCTATATCACTTGGACTAAGACCGGGATCCATATACTTGAAGACCATTCGCTCACACAAGGCTATCTCATTAAGTCAAAAGTTGTTCAATCAAACCATTTACTTTATAAAATGGCGTGGGGGAGGGAAAGAAGCAGCAGCATCTTAAATGGTAAAACCACCACCTGCAATGCCATTATAGGCATTAGTTGAAGTCCCAGCTGCTCCACTTGGAATCCAGCTGCCTAACAGACCTATACAAGCAGGAGAGGGTGGCCCTGGTTCTGTACATCCATGTGGGAGACCCAGAAAAGGCTTCTGGCTCTGGCCTGGCTCAGCTGGGACCATTACAGCCATCTGCAGAATGAACTGACAGATAGAAGACATCTCCTTTGCCCTCCCTGCATCTCTGCCTTTTAAAGAAATAAAATAACCTTTAAGATAAAGGAAAGAAAGGGAAGAAAAGGGGAGAATATGGGGAGGGGAGGGAAGGAAAACACAAGCAAAATGAAACTGGGGGCAGGTATTTGATGTAGCAGTTAAGCCTGGGACATGTTTTGGGACATGTATCTCCAAACTAGAGATCCTGGTTTTGAATCCTAGCTTCATTCCCAGTTCCAGCTTCCTGGTACTATCCACCCTGGGAACAGGTATTTGCTCAAGTGGTTGGCTCTCTGCCACCTACATGGAAAACTCAGACTGGGTTCTCAGCTCTGGCTCTGGCCTGGGCAACTCCCAAGTCTCAAGCTTTGTGAGGATAAAACAACTGATGGGAGACAACCGTCTTTCAAAGAAAACACTTAAAAAAAAACTTTTTATAAAGTAAACTTCTGTTTGATATCTTGCAATTTCTCAACTCTTAAATTATCTGCTTTGTAATAAGCAAGCTATAGAATTCTTTGAAAAGAAACCTGCATTAGACTTAAAAATTCTATAAATTACTCCACAGAGCACAATAAAAATTAAAGCTTTTAAAAATTATAGAACACAATCTTACACACAAACAGGAATTTTATTATTTATTTTCATGGTAATAGCTATAGATATTATTATTGCAAAAAAAAGGAAAGAAAGACAATAAATAACATAATAAAGGCTAATACATTATAATGAAAGAAAAATAAACAGTGGGCAGCATTGTGGCACAGCAAGTTAAGCAACTGCCTGCAACACTGGAATCCCCAGTATGAGTCCTAGCTACTCCAATTCTGATCCAACTCATTGCTAATGTGTCTGGGAAAGCAGCAGGTGATCATCCAAATTCTTGAGAAATCCTGAATGCATGTAAGAGACCTGGAAGAAGTTCCCAGCTCTTGCCTTCAATCTGGCCCTGATCCACCCACTGCAGCCACTTGGGGACTTAACCAATGAATGGAAGACCTCTGTTTATCCTATTTCAAATAAATAAAATAGATAACTTTTTTTAAAATGAAAAATTTTAACTAAATCCATGGCAGGACATCGAATATGTAAAATAAAGTACATTACTTCAGCCACACAAGAAATACACATATATTTACACATAAAACTATACTAAGTACATTTTTAAGTTCTTAAAAACACACAACAGAATCCAAAGGTAAAAACATGGGAAAGAGGGGCCAGTGTGGTGGTACAGAAAGCCAGTATTTTGACCCTGGTGCTGGCATCCCAAATGAATCCGAATTTGACAGCCCAACTGCTCCACTTCTGATCCAGCTCCCTGGTCTGGGAAAGCAGAGGAAAATGGCCGAGATTTTGGACCACTATGCCCACATTAGAGACCCAAAAGAAGCTCCTGGCTCCTAGCTTTGGATCAGGACAGTTTCATCCACTGCAACCATTTGGGGAATGAACCATCAGATAGAATTCTCTGTGTTTCTCTCTCTCTGTAACTCTTTCAAGCTAAATAAATTCTAAAAGATAGACATGAAAAGATTTTTAAAAAATTAAGAATGCAAAAGAGTGATTCTGGGCTATGAGACTCAACAGAGAAAAAACACTACTTTCTGAATAATATTTTTTCCATATTTAAGATATCAAGATAAAAAAATATCTAGGGCCCCGCGCAATAGCATAATGGTTAAAGTTCTTGCCTTGCATGCCAGGATCCCATATGGTCGCTGAATCTAATCCTGGCAGCCCCACTTCCCCATCCAGCTTCCTGCTTGTGGCCTGGGAAAGCAGTTGAGTATGGCCCAAGGCCTTGGGACCCTGCACCCATGTGGGAGACCCGGAGGAGCTCCTGGCTCCTGGCTTTGGATTGGCTCAGCTCCAGCCATTGCAGTCACTTGGGGAGTGAACCACTGGACGGAAGATCTTCCTCTCTGTCTCTCCTCCTCTCTGTATATCCGCCTTTCAATAAAAATAAATCTTAAAAAGAAAAGATCTAAACATATTTTTCAGTTAAAGGAATTATAAAAGAAAAATGCAGGGAGACATATTGAAGGAAATAAATCAAGGGTGGGAAGGTTGGAGGAAAAACTGGAAAAGCTAAGGAAGAGGAGAGAGAGAGAGAAGAAAATGAAATAAAATCTTGGCTTGTTTCTTTTAGAGAAAATTACCCTCTTGAAGACCAGGATGTATCACTTGTTTGTGCCTCAATGACTTCAAATCTTCGATTAAATCCTTTTCTAACTGAGAAATCCGTGCTCTGCAACCTAGTCACAGACAGACAATGATTAAGATATTACATTCTACAGAACATCAAACACTAAATATTTTACTAATAGAGGCCAAGCCTCAAATACATCTCATTTTAAATGGCATAATACCTGGGTCACTTGTGCTTGATGCCTGTAGACTACAGGGTTCTTCTGCTGTCCCATCAACAGCGTGAATGTCTAGTGCTTCCTACATATTTTAAAGAAAGAGTGTAGCACATATCACTTTATATGTAAAATGGGTTTAAAAAAAAACAGAAGGAAAAATACCACCATGTTCACAATGATGGCTGCAAATTCAACCAACAGGAGCAATGCGTCTTACTTTTTCTATTTTCTAAATGTTCTATATTTGCATTAATGTAATAATCACAAAGGAAAAAAGAGCAAAAGTAAATAATATCATACTCAGTTAACAGACCTCAAACTAGACTAATATCAGTTTGCATGCAGATTTCTCAAAGCCTACATAAAGATAAGTTACTGAGCAACCAAGAAAAATTTTGAAGAACAGGCAGGAAAAAAATAACACTTTAGAATAAAGAACATCCTGTATCTGTGTAGCCAATTTAAGAACATAATAGTCTGAAAGAAAAAAAAAATTAGCTGAAGAGTCCACAGAGGATAATCAAAGCAATTATATTAGTATGTGAGAGAAAAGAGCTGCTGCTACTACTGATTCAAACCACGGGGAATGAGGGTTGCTGTATCTCAAAAATTAGTAAATTTCCAACTATCTTTATTCCTTTTTAAAGCCTGTTATGATGAAATTTCCAGTAAGACTCAAAAGTTAAAAAACAAAACCAAGTAGGAGCTGGCACCATGGCATAGTAGGCTAAGCTTCCACCTACGACACTGCCATCCTATATGGGTGGCTAGTTTGTGCCCAGCTATTCCACCTCCCATCCAGCTCTGTGCTTATGGCCTGCGAAAACAGCACAGAATGGCTCAAGTCCATGAGCCCCTGCACCCATGTAGGAGACCCAGAAGAAACTCCTGGCTCCTAGCTTCAGTTGAGGTAAGCTCTGGCCACTGCAGCCATTTGGAGAGTGAACCCAGCAGGTGGAATATCTTTTTCTGTCTTGTCTTTGTTAACTCTGCCTTTCAAATAAAAATAAAATCTTTAAAAAAAAAAAAAAAGGGAAGGTATCAAACAGCTAAATGAATGGGCATGTGACTTCACAGTTAAGCTTCTAACTGGGATGTCCACACACAGGAATGCCTGGGTTCCATTATCAGCCTTGGCTCCGACTTTCCTGATATTGCAGACCTTGAGGGGCAGTAGTAATGACTAGTAATCAGGTTCCTGGCATCCACGAGAGACAGCTGGACAAGATTTCCATCTTCCAGCCACGTTAGCCACTTGGGGAATGAATCAACTAATAGGAGCTGTCTCACTACCTCAAATAAAAAGAGATTCAGGGGCCAATACGGCTGCTCAAAAAGCTAATCTGCCAACTTGCAGTACCAACATCCACATGGGTGTTGGTTCATATTTCAGCTGCTCCACTTCCCATTCAACTCCTGCTTGTGGCCTGGGAAAGCAGTGGAGCATGGCCCAAGTACTTGGGACCCTGCACCCACGTGGGAGACCTGGAACAGACAGACTCCTGGCTCCTGGCTTCAGATCTGCTCAGCTTCACCTGTTGAGCCATTTGGGGAGTGAAGCAGTAGATAGCAGATCTCTTATTTCTGTTTCTACTTCTGTTTATTTGCCTTTCAAATAAAATAAATCTTTTTAAAAAAACTTAGTCACATAGCTAAGTAAGGTACAAACAGGAACTGAGATCTAAACAGACATAATTTCTTATGATGTTCAAACAACGATCTCAAATGGTCACTATCAACCAAATCAAACTCTCTTGGAGACAATATTCTAAACTAGTTATTTTCAGTATACAATTTAAGATTGACTCATCAACTTTTAGAAAGACTGCTAAGAACTAAGATCTTACCTTTGATTCAAAGGAAACAAACAGAACACCATCCACATCTTCCAAATCAGGCTTTACATCTGGAAAGGAATTTCCAGAGCCTACTGGGATATTCTTTGTAGAACCTAAAGACCTTCCTGTGTTTTTGGGTGTTTTCCCTGTCTTAGAGAGTTTCAATTTCCGTGGCCTTCCTCTTTTTCCAGGGATATTTGGAGAGACATTCTGAGGAGCACTTACAGCCTTTGGATTGGTTGTAATTTTAAGCATAGCTGTTCTCTTTCTGCCCAAGTCCCCTTTCACTGAAAATAAGTTCTGAGCTGATTCCTTTGAATTCTCCAATACTACTTCTGTGTTGATGTTGTCAAATACATCAGGGTAATCCCACTTGGGCTCTTTAAGTAAGGGATATTTTTGCACCAATCTGGGATCTGGTGAATGTTGCACATCATTTTCTGATTCCTTGCTTAAACAGAAGCCAGTACCACCAGAATTTTCAATGTATGCAGGCAAATAATCTAATTCTGATTTATCCTTTCGAGACATGGAAAGCATGTTATCTGGCAGCTCAGAAACCTTCACTGTGTTTTTGGTGACAGCACATGGCTCCAGATAGACTACTGGCATCTTCCCTGCATCTAAGTTGAACATTTTAGCTTTTGCAACACCTGATGGGCTACTTGGTAGCCATTTATAAGAGGAATGGTCAGCTCCCAAGTCACCAACTTTATTGTGCCTCTTCAGCTGTTTCTCTAGTATTGGGTCATCGTCACTGTTTGAGTAGACATCTGTTTCTTCATCTGTCTCTTCCTGTTTCACAGTGACCCCTTCTGGGCACTGCCCAAGTTCATAGTCATAATCATCTAGAGGCTCCTCTTTAACGACAACATTGAAGTTTCCATTTGGATCTACCGGTGAGGCAGCATGGGAGCCATCATCAAAACTGTTGGCAATAAGACTGAAGAGATGGGAAGGGAAAGATAAAAAGTACAAAACTATTCATAAATGAGACATAAAGATGGGAAAAACTGTTTTTCTAAAACCAAGTAACACATCAAAACTCAAAAATCATTTCTCAAAAACATTCTACATAATCTAGCAAGATTCTCAAAAGCAATTCATTAGTACCAGTTTCTTATTTTGTTAATTTTCATCTAAAAGTACACAAAATACAGAGTAAAGGTTCCTCTTACCATTCAATCAAAATGCACTATTTCAGTATTTTTCAAATAAACTCAGTTTTGCAAGGCAGCCAGTACTGACCTAAAATACTCTAAAATTTTACAGGAAGATTAACAATTACCAATGCATTAAACACATGTCCATCACAATGAGGAATGAAAAATAAGCATCAGAAACTGCTTTCAAGCTGCCAAATTTTTTTGTGTGTTTGAGATAAAAACTTACATAAAATGTAACGTATTATTCATTTTAAAGTATACAACTGAATAATTTTTAGTATATTCACAAAGCTGGTGCCAGATGATTTTTCAACTTTAAAGTTGAAACACATATTTTCAATGTAAAGAATCAACAACACAAAATTAAAAGGGTACGGTTGTTACACGACTCATATGGACTGTGTATAATTTATCAAACAACACTACCCTAGTCACAAAAAAATATAAGAACTGTTCTGAGGTACCCCCTTCAGAACATGATAGGTCTAAAGAATTAGGTTGACTACCACAGCCCCATATGAAGTAATAGATTTAGTAACAGATTTAGATCAGTCTTAGCTCAACCCAGATCACCTGAGCCTTGGCCCCTGTAGGGTTTAGAGGAAATCAATGATAAGAACCCTTTTTCAATAACACACACACAAAACTTTTTCAAAAGAAAAATAAATTTTAAAAGGAGGTTAAATATACAAAATGAAGGCTAAGATAACAAACTTTCAATTTCAAGAAATAAAATCATCATACAACAGAATGAACTGTCTCAAAAGATAATACCAAAGCAGTTAAAAACAAGTCAATATGGATGTTGACAAAAATGTGGGAGCAAAAGAAATGATCATACTGTTTGTGAAAGCATAAAATGGTATAATTTTGAGTTAAAAGTATGTGTACCCTATGATGGAGTAATTCTACCAGATATCTAACAAAAAGAAATTACTGCATATGCAAACCAAAAATTCTGTGTAGGAACACTTGTAACACCTTGATTTGGGGTTTGCTGTTGTGGCATCAAAGAGAGTTAAGCCACCATCTAAACAGCAGCATCCCATATATGAGCACTGGCTTCAGTCCTGACTGCAATCCTCATTTCCTACTAAAGTGCCCAGAAAAGGAGATGATGATGGTTCACATACTTGAACCAACTCTGACACCCACGTGGGAGACCCAGATCCTAGCCATCACAGTCAACTAGGGAATGAACCAGTGGATGGAACATCTCTCCATCTTGCTCCCTCTTTCTGTAATTCTACTTTCCAAATAAACATTTTAATTTTTTAAAAAAATGTTCTACTAGTCATCATCAAAATCAACAATTTAAATGTACATCAATAGGAGATAATAATGAATTTGTAGAGAACCAGAATAACTGTAGAAGATTGCAATTCAAAGGACTGACAGCTAATACAGAGGAGTAAATCTAAAGTAATAAAAAATTCTGTTGGAAAAAAACACTAGGTACACCTCCAGGAATCAATTTGATCCAGGAATCTGGAACTACAAAAACAGACAAAACTAAGCTTTAAAAACAGTCTCCAGTGGGCCCAGCATGATAGCCAAATGGCTAAAGTCCTCACCTTGCACATACTGGGTTTCCATATGAGGCCTGGCTCTAATCTTTGGCAACTTCACTTCCCATCCAGCTCCCTGGCTGTAGCCTGGGAAAGCAGCGAGGATGACCCAAGGTCTTGGGACCCTGTACCCAGGTAGGAGACCTAAGAAATCTCTTGGATCCCAGCTTCAGATCAACTGAGCTCTGGCCATTGTGGTCACTCAAGCAGTAAACCAGAGGATGAAGATCCTTCTTTATCTCCTGATCACTCTGTAAAAATCTGCCTCTCAAATAAAAAAAATCTTTAAAAGCAAAAAACAAAACAAAAACTGGAGTTGGCTCAACATGTTAATTCTCTGTCTGCCAGTGCCAGCATCCAATACAGGCAGCAGATCCTGTTCTGGCCTATCTGTCTCCCTGCTTGTGACCTCAGAAGGCAGCAGAGGGCTGCCCAAAGCTATGGGACCCTGTATCCATGTGGGAGACTCAGAAGAAGCTCCTAGATCCAGAAAGACCCAGCTCTGGACATTTCAGCCATTCAGGGAGTGAACTAACAGATGCAAAATCTCGGTCTCTCTATTCTCTGTAACTCTTTTAAATAAAAATAAATCTTCTTAAAAATGTAATAATCTTCAGCTTTTTTTCCAACTGGGTAGTAACTTCACAAATAGTAAACTTTTAAAAAAAGATTTATTTATTTTCATTGGAAAGGCAGACCTACAGAGAAGAGAATCAGAGAGAATGATCTTCCTTCCGCTGGTTCACTCCCCAAATAGTTGCAACTGACAGAGCTAAACTGATCTGAAGCCAGGAGCCAGGAGCTTCTTTCAGGCCTCACACGCAGGTGTGCACGGTCCGGAGGCTTTGGGCCATCCCCTACTGCTTTCCCAGGCCACAAGCAGGGAGGTGGAAGGTTAGTGGAGCAGCTGGGACATAAACCAGTGCCCATATGGGATGCTGATGCATGCAAGGCAAGGACTTAACCACTAAACTATTGCACCAGGCCCTTAAAGAGTGTAAGTTTATTCTGAATCCATCTGTGGCTCATTTGGGTAAGTTTTGTTTCAACTATGAGATTTTTTTTCCTCTTTCCCTATCAATCACAAGTGATCAATATAAGTTACCAAGAAACATTTTAAATATAAATAAAGCATCCTCATATGGCAGGTATTCAGCCCAGCAGCTGAAACACTCAGGTCCCACCCTGAAGTATCTGGTGAACTGCAGCACCAAGTCCTAATCCTACCTCACTGCCAACACAAACCCTGGAGGCAGCAGTCAATGACTCAAGTTACATGGGAGACCCAGACTGTTCACAGCTTTGAGGCTTTAATCCCACCTACTATATAGCAATGTGGGTTGTGAAGCAATGAATGGGGGTGCACTCTTTCCCCCATCCCCACACTCCACTCTACCTCTCTAATCTAGGGGGCAGGCATCTGGTGCAGTTGTTAGAATGCCACCTCAGACACCCACATCCTATTCCAGAGCACCAGGGTCTGAGTCTCAGTTCCAATTCTGATGTATCTTCCAGGCAAAAAATCGTGGCTTAAGTACTTGGGTCCCTGACACTCACAATGAGTTCTAGGCTTCTACCTTCAACCTGGCCCACACCTAGCTTGTGCAGGCATTTACAGTGTGAACCAGCAAATGGAAAGTCTCATTTAAATTTTTTAAAAAGTTTTTAAATAATATTTTTTAAATTTACAGTATGTGTAGCACTCCAAAGAACAAATGTGTTAAAGCCAAACTCAGTCCATCTCAATCTTCCCTTCATACCTCAGAATAGAAAAACCATTACCCCACCTTTCAGAAGCCTCTTGCTTCAATTGAGAAACTTCAAGTGCTGAATCAGTTTCCATGAAACCAAACAAGTCCTGTTTTATATTAGGAGAAGTCTTTTCCAAACTCTTGCCTGATAAAGGATCCAAGTCACCGGGCTGTATCTCTGGCCCCTCCCCTTCTGTAAGACAGACTTGAGGAGCGGGAGAACTGGAAACACTATTGCTCTCCTGGTCAGAACTGGTCTTCTGTTTCCCATCTCTTTGGGGTTTACTATTCAGCCCATCATCTCGAAAGCCTTTGGCAAATGGGTTGTAATCTATTTTCAACTGGGTAATCTGAATGTTCTGATAAGCTGTTACCGCAAAGAATTCCGTCTGTGGGAAGCTGAATGTGTGGACACCAGGACCATTTAACTGTATCACCTCTGTGGCCTTTTCTGCAGGCACCAAGTGAAGTCTTGGCAAGTAGCGATGCATAGAGTGCAAGATAATATGCCCTTCTTGGTCCAGTGTATTGTTGGTAAGTTTCAATTTATAAAAAGATACAGGTTGATGCATCCAATAATGACCTGTAGAGGGAGATTCTGGGTGAATAAAAACCCTCCCCAAAACGTGGGGTTCAGCCTTCCCACTAGGTTCCCACCAACGACCATTCCATTTGTAACGATGATTATCCACAGGAGATATATCCATGACAAGAATATACTTCAAATTTGAATCTAATCCTGTAATCCAGTAACGACAGTAAGGAAACATGCGTCTTCCCTGCTTGGTCAGAATCATCTCTGTGCTTCGATGATGAAATTCATTCCACATAGTATTGTTATCAAGCGTAACAGTGATTTTTCCCACAGTACAATCAGCCGGGAGGCAAATCTTTCCTTTAGATTTTCCTGGTGGTGACACCCTATTAGCCAAAGCACAGGCATCCCGATTAGTAACCAGAATTCCTTGATCAGTCCTGCCATTTCCTGGCTGTTTCAGGATAACGAAAAAGGTAGGTGCTGTTCCTGCTACTGTCCCACCATCTTGATTAGCCAATATGATCTGCTGTTTCTCCTCCATGACTCCAGTGAGAAACTCAGTAGTGAGGTAACTGCAGTCAACACAGTCACAATGGCCTTGCCATCCTAAAAAAACAAGCAAGCAAAATTTATATCAGATGAGTATTTTGTAAAGAAATAAGATTGTGTCAACCCTAAATTATCACTTAATTATTCTAAGACTGTTTATTTGCTTATCTCTTTCCTTTCACCACTTTAAAGCTATTAACTCTGGAGTATCGTTTTTTTTAAATGTTAATTTAATTTTAATTAGCTGGAATTATTCATGCCAAAACATTGCAAAAAATCACTACAAACCCAAATATCTTGCTCAAAAGAAACAAAAAGTATTCTCTTCAAAAAAGCAGACGAAAGTCTATTAAAGCTGAGTCCAGCACGGTAGCCTTGCGACTAAAGTCCTTCCTTGCACACACCGCGATCCCATATGGGTATCAATTTTAATCCCTGCAGCCCACTTCCCATCCAGCTCCTTGCTTGTGGCCTGAGAAGGCAGTTGAGGACGGCCCAAAGCCTTGGGACCCTGCACCCACGTCGGAGACCTGGAAGACACTCCAGGCACCTGGCTTCAGATCAGTATAGCTCCAACTGTTGCTGCTGCTTGGGGAGTGAATCAACAGATGGAAGATGTTCCTCTCTGTGTATCTGACTTTCTAATACAAATAAATAAAAATTATTTTTTAATTTGCTTTCCCCCCCCTCTTTTTTTTTACTATATTTTTGAAAATAGTTAATCGGGGTAAAAAGGTTCAAGGACTACGGGAAAGTGGGCAAGACCACTATTTCCACATTGTTTCCTTCATATATCTGAGGTAAATGGGGATTTTAATGGAGAAGCCACACCCAGTCTCCCACCCACCCCAGGTCCCTGATGCGGAGCAGGCTCCAAGGGTCCTGCTCAAGTGGTTTTGATATTTCAACAGTTATGAACTGCTGCCAGTCTCGTCACTCCAAGCATGATGAGGTCATTGAAGAATCCACTGATTGACATAGCCCATCATAGAGTCTCCATTTGCCCAGTTTTTCACTGCCAACATATGGCTGAGGTGGTTGATTGACCTGTTCTATCCTCTGTCTTTTCATGGTTGGGGTTCTGAGTCTGGCAGTTCGATTGGGGAGATTCCCAAAGAAACCTTGTTTGAGGTGTTCCCAGACCAGATTCTTGTATGTACTAGCAAGTACAGGACCTGGCACAGTCCATCGCCCCATCAGCTGGGAGGTCGCAATTGCTGGGTTGGCCCTGGTTCCAGCGCCGTCTTCCACACAAATCAATGGGTGTTGCAGTCCAGCCTGATTCTGCCCAGCACACACACTTGGCCTTCACATAAACCAATGGGAGCTGCAGCCTAGTCAGAGCGACCCACAAAAACCCCCACCAGACCTGTCCCAATTCTGGTTCGCCAGTATGTGTAGCAGACTAGTCCAGTCTGTCCCACATCACATTCAGCTCTCATACATGTCAGTGGACACTGAAGCCTAGTTTAACCCAACCAGTCCCACTATCCAGCCCACACACATGCTGTTGGATGCCGTTCTGTCTAGCCACCCCTGCCCCTGTCCTGGTTTTTATGCTCTCCAGTGGGGGTGGAAACCCAAGAGGGAGGTATCCACTATTTCCCTACTGGGCTGCTCCCACTCCTGGATCATGCACTCTCCAGGTGGTTCTGCAGTTTAAGTTGACAGGATTAGCCACCAGTGCCAATCTCTGCCAGTGATATTGTGGCTAAGCCCAAACAACCCTCACCCACACTGATTTAAGTTTGCACCAGTAGGAAGAGTCAGCCGAGCCTGGCTTTTCCTTGATATAGCTGAAATGAGGCCAACACATATTGTAGCCCTGCCTAGTCTTGTCTGCACCCATCCCAACTCAAGCTCTCCAGTGGGAGTAGCTGTCTAGCAAGGGAGCACCCCCGTAATCCCCCTGTCAGCTCTGCCCCTCCCTTCCTGGTTCTCATGTGTGCTGGTTGGGCACTGTGGTCACATCCGGTACAGGCAACCTCACCTTGGCATTCCATAATGTGCACTGGTTTTATGTCGCGACTGAACCTGGCTCGACCCACACTCTGTTCTGGTGCTTGGATTTGCCAGTGGATGATGTGAACTGATTCAGCCTGGTCTTCCCCCAACCCATGCCAATTGTATGCCAGTGGGAAACTTTCCATGGCCTGCTCTGGACTGTTTCCTTTCATGCTTCTTGTGCATACTTGCAGTGTCTGTATCCTGCCAGAGGAGTGGCCCAGGCTCTTCCATCAGAACCTCTCCCAATGCCAGATTTTGCGCATACCAGTGGGTCCATGAGCCAGCCCTATTCAGTCCACCTCCTGTCCTAGCAGGAACAGTGGCTTTTCCTGACTGGCCTTCAACCCAAACTGGTTCTTGCTGTTGGATGTTTCAGCCCAGCCATGGTTTGTCCATACCCACATATGGCTCACACATGACTCAGTAGGGGCTGAGACCTAGCCTAGTCCACTGCACATCTATCCTGGTCCTCCAGAGCACCAGAGGAGTCTAGCCCAGCTTGGTGCATCCAGTCCCAGTCCACACTTGTGCCAAGGAAGACTACAACTGTATCCTGATCAGAACGCAGCCCCCATTCCAGCCCCGTGCTCCTTGGTGGGAACCTCAACCCAGCTAGGGTGTCCCCTTAGCTCCCCAATCAGGCCTGTTCCCAGCCACAGATCATGCACATGCCAGTGGTTGCTCTGACTCAGCTTGGCACAGCCCCTCACCTGTCCCAGCCCTTGCCTTACATACTGTGGCTTAGTGTCCCTGGCTCACGCAGACCAGTAGGTACAAGAGCCTAGCTTGGCATGACCTGTGCTCCATCCTGATTTCTAATTTTGCTTGTGGGCTAAGGTTTGCTCAGTCCTGCCCAGTCCACCCCGTTCCCAATGTAAATAAATAAAACTTTAAAAAAAAGTATACTGGGCCCAGTGCAATAGTGTAGGGGTTTAAGTCCTCGCCTTGCATGTGCCAGGATCCCATATGGTCGCTGGTTCGAATCCCGGCAGCCCCACTTCTCATCCCGCTCCCTATTTGCAGCCTGGGAAAGCAGTCGAGGATGGCCCAAAACCTTGGGACCCTGCACCTGTGTGGGAGACCCGGAAGAGGCTCCTGGCTCCTGGCTTCAGATTGGCTCAGCTCCAGCCATTGTGGTCACTTGGGGAGTGAACCATCGGACAAGGATCTTCCTTTCTGTCTCTCTTCCTCTCTGTATATCTGCCTTTCCAATAAAAATAAATAAATCTTAAAAAATATATTATGCTAAGACTTAAGGGAATACATTGTAACACTGTATTTTAAAAGGATTCTAGCACCTTAGAAACTGATTTATCAAATTAAAGCAAATTCTTCTGAAATGGAAAATATTAAATTTTCATTGCTATTACAAACAGAGACTGTAAAACATTAACTATTTATATGGTTTTACAAATAAGCAAAGCATATACATATATATATTACGTATATATGTATAAATTTGTCCCATTATAACATAATGAAAAAAAAGATTTTGTATTTTCAAGACAAATCTTTTCTTTCTAAGATTTGCTTTTGGAGTCGGCACTATAACTCAAACTGCCTAATCTTCCCCCTTTAAGTCCTGGCATCCCATGTGGACACCAGTTTGTCCCCCAGCTGTGTCACTTAATATACAGCTCTCTGCTTGTGGCCTGAGAAAACAGCAACAGATGCCCCCAAAGCCTTGGGACCTTACACCCACGTACCCACGTATGAAACCTAGAGGAAGCTCCTGGCGTCAGATCAGTCCAGCTCTATCCTTTGCAGCCACTGAGAAGTGAATCAGCAGATGGAAGATCTTTCTCTCCCTCTCTCTGTAATTCTGCATTTCGAATAAAAATAAAGAAATCTTACAAAACAACAACAAAAGACTGTTTTTATATGAAAAGCACAGAGAAGAAGAGCAGAGAAACATCTTCCATCTGCTGGTTCACTCCTCAAATTACCAAACCAGCCAGAGCTGGGGTGGCCTGAAACCAGAGTTTCTTCTGGGTCGCCCACATTGGTGCAGGAGCCTAAGGACTTGAGCCATAAGCAGGGAGCTGGATCAGAAGGCAAGCATCTGACACATAATCCTGCATCCAGTGTCACAGAAGGTCTAATTTATGATAACACAGCACCAGTCCCAAATCTAATACACTTAACTCTTAAAACTATCCTGGGGGCCCAAGCACAGCAACCTAGTGGCCAAATCCTCACATTATAACCACCAGGATCCCATATAGGTGCTGGTTCATGCTGTAGCTGCTCCACTTCCCTTCCAGTTCCTTGCTTGTGGCCTGGGAAAGCAGTAAAGGATGGCCCACAGCCTCAGAACCCTACACCCATCAGGGAGATTAGGAAGAAGCGCCTGGCTCCGGGCTTCAGATTGGCTCAGCTCCAGACACTGCAGTCCCTTGGAAGAGCCTTTTCTCTGTATCTCCTTCTCTGCATATCCAAACAAAAGTTGCTTGGTACAACACAAAACTTTGGATCAGTTAAGATAGCAACAATTTTTGATAAATTCAATATCATGCAAATTTTTTAAATCTTACACACACACACACACACACACACACACACACCAAGTAAAACCAAAGAGCAAATAACTAGCAGAAAAATCTCCCAACTTATATCATAAAGGACTCTTTGCATATCCTGGAAGGGGTTCCTATGAAAAAGTGAATGTCAAATAACCAGCAGAGGGATTAGCCTAGCCGCTGAAATCTTTGCCTTGCATGCACGGGACTCCCATATGGGTACCAGTTCTAATCCTGATGGCCCCGCTTCCTATTCAGCTACCTGCTTGTGGCCTGGAAAAACAGTCGAGCACGACCCAAAACTTTGGGACCCTGCACCTGTGTGGGAGACCCAAAGAGACTCTGGGCTCCTGCCTTCAGATCAGCTCAACAGTTCCAGCTGTTGTGGCCGCTTGAGGAGTGAATCAGCAGATGGAAGATCTTCCTCTCTGTCTCTCCTCTCCATATATCTGTGTCTCTGATAAAAATAAATGTTTAAAAAAAATCAACAGAAAAAAAAGGCAGAGCATAAAAAGAGTAAATCATTGTCAA